AAAAAAAAAGAAGAAAAGAATCTGGGAAGGGGAACAAAAAAAACCAAACAGAAAAAGAGAGGCTGAGACATACTGCAAGTCAGAGAAGCAACCAGTGGTGAAATCGAGTGTGGTTAGAGATTCAGTATGCGATAAATGGGTTCAAATATGGATGGATGGCTTGGACTGCAAGCGAATGACGACCCGACCAAGTTTAAGCGCAGCCAGCGTGGTCCATGACGGACAGGCGAGGGGAAAGATGCGTGTCTAACTATCAGTCGTCGCGCAGGAAAGAGGGGGAGAAGAAGTCAAAAGATTGATGTAAATCAGGCCGTTAGGCAGCTCCCCAGGTGATGTGATGACGATGGTGTATAAAAAAGATAAGGATAATTCATCAATAATGTGGAAGTGGAGACCAGAAGATGAGCGAACCGCCGTCAATCAAAACGATCGCATCCGGGGGCGGAGACGAGGAAGGAAGGGAATTAATTTCGCTTTTTGGTTTCTTCCCCAGTGAGTGAATGATACTTAGTAAAATAGAAATAGAAGAAGAGGACGACGACGACGAGAGGAGAGGAGAAAAGCAACGGGGGATCGCGTAAGAAATGAAACAACAGGGGATTCGAAGTAAATTTATTGGCAATGTAATTTAACTTCTGATTGTTTGGCGTTGCTTTTTTTTTTCTTTTTTTTCAGGTTTTTTTTACTGATTTTGGTTTTCATCTGTTCAGGTGGACAATTATTGAGACCGACAGAGGATTGAAAAGTTACCGTATTGTGATCCTGCCAATACCACTTTAAGTTTGTCAAAAAACCACCAGTCCACCAGAAAAGAGACTAATCGGATGTTATTCCAGTTTCATGATGATCATGCCATGTTGATGGCCGACGAGATACAATTTCAAGATGATCAGGATTTCCCTGTTTCGTACCAATTTGCGTTCATATCCCAGTCGGGTTCGACCTTATCAGTTGACTGCTCATCTATTTTGGGTTTAACGAGGCTGATTTCCATGGCGATCCTCATCAACCAATGAGAGCGTCAGTCCAGGTGACCTGGTGATGCTGAGCATCGATCGCAGCGTATCGTACTTGTAATCTTTCTTAATAATAGACTTCCTCTCCGCTGGAAATTTCGATCCATACCCGATGAAGCAATCAAGGGCTTCATATTATTCACGATTATTTACATCCCTCACCGAGCCGAAACAAAGATTGAATATCCATCTGGAGCCATCTTTCCAGAAGAAAAAAAGACACCAAGTATCGAATCATGCTTATCGATATAGAGTAAGGGGATAAGGTTCGACTGGCCCCCTCATCGAATAAATAAGCTTCTTCAAGAGTTGATAACGTACGAGGACCCACCAAGATATATATCTGGTCCCCATACGGAGTACGTTCCGAAGGAGAACATGGTCTTGCCCTAGTCCTCATATAGACGATCATACTGGTACCTTTAAGAAAAAATATTCACCTACGTCATCTGAGACTTCATCATACCGGGAGCGCATACTTTCGAGGGCCGAGGGCCTCAATGTGCTTCTCTATTTCCATATCAGAAAACCGCTCAAGATAGAAATTCTAAGGACCCACAACACTGCAAAAACACAGACAAAAACTTAAAGAGAACAGCAAATATACAAGCTCCTAAATCAGAACACCGACGCAAGTTCTATATACAAGTCTATAAGCCGTCTATCGTGAAATCTATGACCTCGTCTCATTGCCATCTTCCACATGTTCCTCCTCGCTCTTATCAAAGTTTCCCTCCTTGATCTCGAACCGGAATCGCTCTTCCTCCTCCTTCATCTGAGCCTTGACCTTCTCGTTTGCCCGCCAGACCGGCTTCACCTCGAACAGGCGGTCCACAACCTCCAGTGGGATACCGCTGGTCTCGGGAATGAGGAAGAAGGTAAAGAAGAAGGCAAGGAAGGACAAGGCGGCGAAAAAGAAGTACACTCCATAGCCCATCGCGTCGAACATTTGCTCCGTAAAGCGGGAAACAAGGAAGTTGAAGAGCCAGTTGCTGGCGGTTGTGGCGGCCTGGGCCAGCGACCGGATGTTGGGATCGAAGAATTCCTATTCATCGTTGGTCAGTGACGGTACTTTGAGTCAATGGGGCGAGAAAAACTCACCGAGTTAATAACCCATGGCGTGCCGTTCCATGTCGGCGTGTACACCGCCGTCCACATGTAAAAGAAGAAGATGGCTGCAATACCACCACCGTTCAAGTGATCGGTGGGGTTTTTCTCAGGCTCGACGATGCAGATGTAGGCACCAATAATCCACATACAGATCGAGCCCGTGATGGCACCGATCAGGAGAAGCTTCCGTCTTCCTAACTGGTCGACCAGGAACAGAAGCCACACGAATGTCATGACGGCTTTCACCACGCCAAACAAACCCGTGGTGATTCCGATCGTATCGCTATTGACACCGATGCTTGTGAAGATGGTAGGACTGTAGTAGTTGATCGCGTTGATTCCGGATCCATTCTGCCAGAAGAACAACATACAGCCCAGGAAAAGGCGCCACATGATCCGGGGTCGTGTGCCAACGGACTGGAAGGGCTTCCAGAATCCAATACCAATGGTGGTTGCCTGCTCTTCAAGCGCTTGGTCGATAGCTGCCACCTCCTCGGTGATATAAATATCGGTCTCACTCAACTGACGAATCCAGCAGAGATTTGCCATTGCTTCCTGTCGGCGGTCCTTGAGGAAGAGCCACCGAGGGGATTCCTTGGTCCATAAGGCACCAATAAAAAGCAGCCCAGACGGAACCAGCTGGATGGCAAATGGGATCAACCATTGCGTGTGGCCAGGTTCCATATTTTTTTGGACACCGTACTACGCCGGTTTAAAGTCAGCATTTTGTCCGTGATTTCGAGCGAAGAGGAGGGGAGCAGGGGAAAGCAGAGTGTCAATAAAAGGCGCCAGACTACTCACGTTGATCCAAAATCCCACCATACCACCAATCTGCCAGCCGAGCTCATAGAGACCGACAAGTCGCCCACGAATGGCCGGAGGGGCCAGTTCCGAGAGATAGATCGGGACAATGTTCGAGGCGACACCGGTGCCGAGTCCATTCAGGACTCGTCCAGCATACATAATTCCCAGTCCGCGGGCGTGGTTGGCACCTAGCTGCAGACCGGCTCCTAACGTAAAGATAGCTGAAGCGATCACCAAGCTCCATTTGCGTCCCAGAAAATGACCAATAGGGTAGGTGAAGAGGGCCCCAAAGAAGGCACCAGCAATGAATAGCGAGACAATATTCTCGCTGATCAAGTCCACCTTCGCAGATGACATCTTGTCCAAGCCGAATTCCTTTCGGAAGGAGTCCAGTGTGATGGTCGTACCGATAAAGGCACTAGTATAACCAATCATGTTGGAACCACATGATGCAATGGCTGCCAGCAGGTACACTCGCCAGTTGTAGACATTCTTAGGAGTCGGACGGTCCTCAACGACGTTAAGAATGCCCATCGCGATGGACGGGGGGTCGAAGAATCAATTGAAGTAGGGAAGGTGACAGAGAGGATTCTTCGACACGGGGCGACCTGGGAGGAACAAGGGGTAGGTGGTTTTGAGCACAACAAAAGTGAGAGCTAGGGCCGGGCCTGAAGAGCATCTTAAAAACTAAATAGACATGGATGGCCTCTTCACTCGAACTATCTCCACAAGTTCCGTCGAGGTCCGCCCCAGACTGGGGCGCCATGGGGTTGAATCTATGAGCTGCGATACGTCGAGAACTGCAATGGACGCTGTTTCCATGCAAAAATTTGCTTTGCCACGGTCCCCCGGTGAGTGGGAGCGTGGGCCGGGGAAGCGTTTTCCCCAGACTGTTTTGCCCCTTAGCCGCGAAGAAATGTTCAGCCGCAGCGATCAAACTTATATTCCCTACATAGAAGCGACGTGTGGCCTTCTAGCTGATCCACATTTTCCCACAACTTTTCCCAATAAGTGGCCTTAGACGACGTCTTCGTCAGGGTGGGAGGTCAGCTGTCACAGTATTGGAGACAACTATTCCGAGCTACTAGAGTCCCTAATTCATTCATCCACCATGATGAGGGCTTTCCCGGTGAACCACCGTCTTCACCGCATGGGGCAGTCTACAGGGGTAACTTCGGCTTGGCGGGGGGCGAGAGCGCAGCCCAGAGTTGAGAAAGAAGTTAGAACTTCCTTGGTAAGCGAATATCCCGGGATCGCTTATCCGGGATTGTTGAGAAAAACGTCAACCCGATGCCGGGGAGAGCGCTTAACCCCACTGCAGGTCGGAACCTTGCCGAGCTGCCGTTGATCTCGGTGCTTTAAAAGCTCGACTATAGCGCACACCGGTGGATGAAAAGGGACGAAGAACTCATCCATGGGATTCTGTTTACCCCAGAATCCAATACCCGAAGCGATTTGGGATACGGGTATATGCATGTAGAAGCGTATAAGCGGAGGAATGTATAGGATGCCGTGCACAAACTCCGTAAAGAGGGACGGGAGTAGAAGCTTTTGCCAACCTGGGACAAGAATGGAGGCTAAACTGTATTGGGGCTCGGCAAAGGTCAGGCGCCAGAATCAATGACTCGTTCTTTTTCGGATAAGCCGTTGTGGAGCCCGACTTACTGGTGACTTTTTTTATTTTAGGGCTATGTAACACAAAAGAAAACCACTTTTCAACAACTATCCGATATGGTGTAATGGCTAACATCGCTGTCTCTCACACAGCAGCTCGGGGTTCGATTCCCCGTATCGGAAATACTTTTTTTTCTTTCGTTTTGCCTACCAATACAGACTGTGTGCATACACAACGTCAATGACATGAACGCGAGCAAGAAAAGCCCGCACCATGATATGCACCAAATACCTCTCCATTTACACCTCGCTTGAAGTCCTTTTTTTTTTTTTTTTTTTTTCCCTTTTCTTTTTTGAATGTCAGATGTGACATGCCTCGTCCCGTGTCGCGATGAGCGGTGAATATCTATATTTATGGATAGACGAAAAGAACCCTCTTGGGTCCTTGGAAGGAGAACATGCGAGATGATGTCTTGCGTGGTATACCCACCACATACAGTCGACTCTAGTTAGTGCACATGCTACTCCTTTCAGAGTTGGAGTAAAGACAATGTTTCCTCCCTTTGTTACTCCTGGACACGGATGCAGAGCATGATCATATATATATCCCTGCAAAACGGTACACTATCCCTCATCCACCACAGACACCGAACAAGACCTTGACAATAAAGCTGCTTTAAGATGTCCAAGTTGCTCACCTGACTAATGGCCTTGCAGGAAGTGGTAGTAGACCAAAAGCCCAATGATCGAGTGGAATTACAAATCCCTCACCCCCGGAAAAGACTATTAGAAGGGATGGATGGGGGATGGTTCAACCAGCTCCCTCCTTAATCCCACATTCCCCTTACTTCATTTACGCCACCCAATTGACAGGGTGCACAACTCAGTCCTAGCTAGGGCACTGAACAACCCAAGTTGAACATTAGTCAGTTATGCGAATGTTTTCAACACTCCTTCTGCTCCCTTGCCCTGTCTACGCGCTGGGAAAGATGATCCTCAACAGCCATCTCGAACCCACAATAAAAAAATAAAAAATAAATTAATAATCACTCCGATAAACATCAGTAATCGCTTACAGGGTAAGTTTAAACTAACAAAACCCAATCTACCAAAGACAAAGTTAGATAAAATAAGCGCCGCTTTAGCAACATCGCTTCCTTCGGCTCGGGCATTCTCACTTTGCTCTGATACTCATATAGGCTACTCATACCCGGAGTCCTTTTCCACAGACGCACCAAGAATTCAACAAAGTTTAGTACTTAGTGCTTCTTCCTGTGCTAAGGTATATTACTACTGGCCCCCATCGTCAGGATATACAAATCCTTCCGCATGAGTTCGGATATCCACCTTGTTAGGTGGCGGCTTTTCTAACGATCCGCATGATAGGGCTAATCGGCCCAGGATGAGTGTTGGAAAACACACCCGGAAGGAATGTTCTCCGATAATCATTAGAGAGAGCAGTCGATCAACCAATCCTTTCTGTGGATCGAATTTTGTTGTCCTCCCTACGATGTGAGCTTTGCTCAGAAGAGAAAGAGGGAGCACATATGCAAGGAACGGATGCTCTCTGGAATGTCTGAGTTGATGAGCCACCACCTTCAGTAAACAAAACCTCGCCGTTCGGTAAGACATGTACAAGAAGAGAAAGAGGCCAGAGCATGGTCCGGCAGATTTGGAATACAGCGACGGTGGTAGTTGCCTGTAAACTGGCATGCAAGAGCGAAATCTTACAGCCGCAGGGGCTCTCTGGGGAGGAGAATGGGGAGATTGGGCGATCGTTACTACGGGCAGCTAACTGGATGAAGCCATCTTGTCTCAACCCGCAGTGTTGACATGGGCGTTCGTCATTGAAGTTCATGCAAACTCTTCGCCGGTAGCGATATCAGGAAACTCAATCTCATCTAAACTTCCATTCAGAACTCTACCACAGAAACACGTTAAATAGAATGAACTAGCGTTTACAAATGCTTAGGCGAAGTTTGACTTGCCTCGTCACCTGCGTATACTTCAGGGAAGCTCAGATCGTCCCGCTGTGGCTGCTTCAGGGGCGGCCCGGATTTAAAATGCGGCTTGGCTCGTATGATTTGTTTCTGAGACGCGTCGAGTCATGCATACATATTCCACTACACATCGAAAGTAAATCAGGTAAAAGACCACCGTTAAGGCAGGACGTCTCAAAAGGATTCACTCATGTCTCAAGGAAGAAATCCCCGAACCTGCGGATGGCCCCACGCCCTTCTACTCCGTATGTTCGTGTCTCTCCCTCTCCACAGCCATCAACCAAATGCACCAAGATCACCATAGCGGCCTCAGACGGATTCCGGCGTTGTTGACATAATGGTAAGCGTCGCGTGTGAACAGATACGGACTATCGTTGTCTCCTCGAGAAGGCTGGCCCGAGGAAGTGGAAGGGCCTGAGCGCCAGCAACATACTTGCTGTGGTATGCTACTGTACAATTTCCAGGTTTTGCTTCGATTGCCATTGTATATCCGTGACGATGACATTGCAAACCCACGAGCTTAGTGAGGGCTAAGAATGCAGATCTTTCCTAGCTCATATTATGCATGGACGAGAGTGCAATGGATTTATTGTTCCTGTAAATCTGAAGGGTCGGGGTGTGAGACATACTCCGGAAATTATGTCCAGCTAATGAGAATGATCATGGCTGTGTTCTTTCCACAGTAATCGATCGACTCCATTGTTGTTAGTCTGGGATGCCGATCAGCCAATGCAGGTATGCTTGTATCACATGCATGGAGGGTGAAAGGGAGTTGGCTGTGCTTCAGATGCTTATGGAGCAGTAAAAACCGTAAGAACCTAAATAAGAACCAAAATTATGAGGCTTACAAGCGAGCATGAGCGATGGGTGACCCGGACCAGTATTCCTGGCCCTGTGCATCCAAGCACAGGCTATATTTGTACGGCAAGATGCGACTTGTGAGTCTCGACCAAATGCAGTACTCGCAATATGTATTCCATTGATGACGAGCCAATTGTCGAAGATATATTCATTCCACAATCTCTTTTGAATACAGTATCAAGAAGGGAAAACGCGGTTGAAGGGGCCCATAGGGCGATTTCTCCTTCCGACCATCCTAGCAACCAAACTGACGAGATTCACATTCAGAAGAGGAACCACCGTACAATAAGCTGGGCAACTAAGGTAGCGGACAGACGGGAAGCTCCACAGCGCGCAGCAAGTTACTCATCGGTTTTGGAGGAGGGAAGGAGGCAGTTGCATCAACTCCAAGGTCCAAGTGTTCCTCCACATATTCGAGGGATAACCTCCAGCCTTCACCTTAACTGGAGTGATTCGATACATCCGCCGCAATTTCTGGAACAGGATCCCTTTTCAGACAGCAGTGTACACGTGTCACGGATAGAACAAAACAGCCGGTCACCTTTGCCCTTACCGCGACTCGATAACGTCGCTAGGAAGACACTGGGTGACAGTGTGAGGAGCGTGTACAACAGGGCAAACCTTGTCAAAATTAAACACCAACGCAGGTACTGGATCCGGCTGTTGATCGAATATTCGGCATATACCACCGGTGTTGCTTTTGTATATTTCGTTCTTGTTGGACGGCCATTGTGGAAAGGTGCTGTATACTGGCTCTATTGGGTGATGCAGCGTAAGTTCGTATTCGCCGGTGGCTGGGCAATCTTTATCTTTCTGCTTGTCTTGTAAGTTGCCTCTCTCTTGATCAGACGGCGGGATTCCTCGATTTCAGTAATGTGGCCGTGCGACTCATGAAGGTTTCTCATCACAGCTATTCCTTTGCGCCGCTTCTTCTCACCTTTGAGAACGACTTCCCTGGGCCAGATTATTACCAAACACGTCGTATTGGCCCAACTGCCCCAGACACGGCTCTTCTGATCCCATGCTATAAGTCTGGTTCCATTGTTGGTCGGACTCTGGAAGCTGCCTTGAAAATCTTTCCAGCCTCGCAGGTCTATGTGATTGCCAATGGTAACTCTCCCACTCCATTAGACAATACCGAGGAGGTATGCAAAGTTTACGGCGTCAACCATATCTGGTGTCCCGTTGGTTCCAAAATAGTCGCCATCTTTATCGGCTGTCATGCAGTCAAATCCTTTCGCCACGTCCTGCTCATCGATGATGATTGCATCCTGCCCCCGCACTTTCCTGTGGTCGTCTCCCGATTGACCGAGAAAGTCCGTTGCATTGGGTACACAATCAAATCCGTTGGCCCCAACTCTCTCCCGGGATCATATTGTCAACAGGCCCAAGACCTTGAATACAAACTAGCTGGCTTACAGCGCAGTTTCGCAGGACGCATTGGCAGCGCGACCTTCCCCCATGGAGCTATATCCTTATGGCAAAGGGCGTTCTTGAAGGAGACTCTCCAGCACCATCCAGGTTTCTCCATTAGTGAGGATTGGTTCATGGGAAACAGTTGCCGGCGGCTCGGAGGAAGAATTCAAATGTGCAGTGCTGTCTTCGTCGAGACTACCGCCCCGGCTGCTCTCGTCTTTGTTGATCGGAACTCAAGCAGAGGCGGCTTCGGCGAAATGACCGTTTTCAAGCAGAGATTTCTGCGGTGGAACTTTTTTGTGGCAAATGGGATATGTTATAATCTATTGTACCTTTTTGGGTCTTGGAAGTTGGGCAAGTGGGAACTGGGTGCGAAGCTCTTCGTCATTCAAGAGGTATGTAGCTGCCTGCTCATAAAACAAGGTCCTGCAGATTCCAGTGGCTAACCTGGAGTATTGAGCAGGTCTATGAGAGCCTGCTGTATGTGCTCACGCCATTTATACTCCCCATTGGGTTTGTCGTCCGCCCCGTGTTTTGTGGTGCCCTCTTGGGGGCAACTGTGGCTTTGTACTTGTTCAATGCCATCATCTTCAACGAATTTCATCTGCGTCTGAAGGACGAGCGGATCGAATGGAATGTTGTTCTCTGGTACTATGTAGGTCATAAAATGTTCCCTGCTGCGCTATACTTCACGCAGAATTCCTGACGCATTGCAGATGCCTTACAAGATCTTCTTAGGTCTTACAAATGTTGCCAGTTGCTATTATTCACTGTTCAAATATGCACGGTATTTTGCAAAGCGACGTCCCAAACTCACCGAAGACCACAAAGCTGTTGGGATGGTGCTGAGATTGGAGGAGATTGCAGAGAGTCGCCGACGACGCGGCAAATTGGGCAGGAGGATGACTGTCAGGTCCCTTGGTGTACGGAAGAAAAATGATAGTATCGCTGAAAGTCAAGCCATTCCTAGCCAGGGCAATTACTCTTGACCATCGAGGCTAATATAAAAATGTTTCCAGGTTTATTGGTACCTGTTGTGATCTATCGCGTAGCTTGGAGAAAGCTGCTTAGAATATGATCGAACTTCGCGGATATGGGGTATCCTTTCTGATTCGTTTTCCTCCGAGAACACAGATAAGAAAACAAAATGGAAGAGAACAATATCACCGCAAAACATTAGCAATGATGTTTGAGATTGAGAGATGCGCATCTGGAGTTACATCTTTGTACTACTGCGGTCTTAGCACAAGAAAAGAGCGGTGACTAAGTGAGGTGTAAGTGAAGCTAGCCATGTTCGACCATGTTACGGGATACGGGCTCCATCACGACTCGTGTTGCGGCCACCAAAACTTACCCCTACCTCCTGCGGCGGAAGCGAAAGCGAAATTCATCATCACTGTCAGAGTCGCGCTCTTCTCGAGGCCGTTTCTGGCTGCGAGGGGCTGCCGGCTCTGACTCAGTCCGAGCAAGAGATTGAGATCGCGACTCTCCAGTATCTTGCTCACTTGCAGGAGGCTCCCGGCGACTTTCCGCCTGACTATTGTCGGCAGATTTGCGACTGCTAACCCAGTAGTGCTCACCAATGCCGAAGGCCTTGCGTGTCACTTCTTCAAGAGGCACAATAACTGTCTGTATCCTATGGCGAGATCGATTGCGATCACCTTTCTTGCGAAACTTTTTGAAATTCTTCCGTCCATTCCATCGCTCATCCCACCGGCTGTCCTCGTCAGCAATCTTTCGGGTTGGCATTTCCATCTCTTCCACAATAGCAAGTCCTCTTAAATTCTCAATATCTTTCAGAGAGTTCTGGAGTTCAGCTTCTTCTTCCTCTCGGCGTTGACGTTGGGCATCTTCTTCAGCCTCTCGATGTTGCCGAGCTGCCTCGAGCACGTCTAACTTCTGACGTTTGGGTTGATGCACTTCCTCCTTGGGGCGGGATGTTGAATCATCCATGGATCTCTGAACAGTCCCAGCGCGACGGCGTTTCATCGCATTTGCCCCAGGAAGAAGTTGAGAAAGTACGTCTTCCTCCTCCTGTAGATTGCTGCGTGGTTGCGTCTGTTGCCCAGACGAAGACTCCATATCCATAGCCGGTAACGAATCCACAACAACATCCTCGTCATCCGGAGGATGCGCAGGGATGGCATTGATGTCGAACCCATCATCAAAAGTTTTCATTTTACTGACAAAGCTGCGCACGCGCGGGCCTTTTGACTTCGACTTTGTCGGCTTACTGTATTCCCCAACTGCCTGGGAATCGGCAATTTGAATGTACTCCGCGGGTGTCGAGGCAGGCTGTGATGCTGGCGTCGCACTTACATCCTGGCGTGATGTGGGCTCGGGTGATGGTAGTGTACGGCAGAGGGACGAGGCATCGTTTGCTAAGATTGCGTCGAGAAATTCGCTCTGTTCAATCACGCGCTGATTGGTTTGAAGTGCAACTTGATTGCTCAGATTGATTGACCACTCCTCGTAACCTCCCTTGGCACGAAACCGAACAAGGACAACCCCTCCGGGGCCATCTCTTTGGCTACCTAGACCTGTATCGCCGGCCGTATTCCTCATAAACTGTGCGATCTCGTCTGCTGTAGTTACCCCATTCTCAACATGATACAGCAAAGCCTTCCCGTGCCCATTGGCGATGGGTTCATGCAGATTGTCGAATTGTGCGGCATCGCCAAAGACAAACGTATAACCTTCAAACAGGTGAACACGATCCGGGATTGGTGCAAATGCCTCGGCTGGTCGATGGACGATTTCTTTGCCGGGAGGTGGAAGATGTTCAGTTGGATCTGGCCATGCAGAGTCGAAGTCGACCTCTAACGGGGACAATGACTCCAAGTTTTCTAGGTCACTCGGTGTCGCAGCGTAGACAAGTGCGTCGATGTATGAGTTCGCAACAATATATTTCCCATTCACTAGTGCCTGTAAGCCTTTTGCCGTGTTACGTTTGCTCTGTACAACATGTGTAGTTTCGTCAACGATATAAGGGATAATCGTTTTGATATCTAGATATTCGAGACGTGAACGGACATGGGCTAGAGGATCTTTCGCCTTGAGTTCTTTAGACGAGAAGGAAAATGTAAGTACGGTCGGCTGCCATTTGATCCTAATCCAAACTCCCTGTTAGCTAGTGTATGGCGGTTTCCGAGGATACACTCACCGCAGCAAATGTTGGTATCTTCCCAACTTTATCGTGTGCTCGTCACTGGTAAGACTGACACTCTCGCCCCGTATTTGGTTTCCATCCACTGCTGTTCCACATTTGGAATTCTGATCAATCACTGTAATTTCCGACTTCGCGTCGATTCGAGACTATGCAAGTCAGCGACGAAAAATACATCAGCAATAAGGAGTATTGTACCCCATCGCCATCTTTAACAGGAGCGACTTCGATCACCATGTGCTTTCGCGATATCGAGCTATGCTGTATAGCATGTTGGACTAAGAAATAGTCAATTAGTACAACTGACATGTGGGATGGGTAGAAGGGGGAAAGTACCGCCATCTTGCCTTATCCGACCAAAGAGATACTTCTGCCCTGGTCGCAACCAGACGCGCTTTCCTCGAATATTGTTAGCACATAACTAAGGTTACGGCCATCTGGGCATCACACACCATCTAAGAGGTCTCCCTCCGAATCCAGAATCCACATGAGGGGCGGCGAGTTTAAATACGATGCTCTTCTTGTTTCCGTCGGGGCGCAAACGACATCGAGCGCACGTGAAGGCATCGCCCGCAACACGAACCCACGTGATCAGGCGTCTCAATGCTGCCTGCTTAGGAAAGATCGCGTCCCCCGGATTTTGTATGAATTATCGCGGCGGATCAATGCATGAAATATGGAACCACCGGGCGAGACGCCTACTGACGAGGTGCCATCCACTTCAAAGGAAGTGTCCGATGAATATGCGACATTGAAATACCAGTTATTAGGTCCCTCCTTGACCAAGGCAGGTCAGGATGCGGTAGACCAGCAGAAGGTGAGAACTACACTGGCCTCATGTATCGCTTAGACGACCACTAAGTGAAAATCAAGGTATCGGAAATAATATACAACGCATCTAAAGGATCGAAATTCTTTAATCATGAGCAAAACCGCGACCGGATCCTAACGGAAAAGATTGAGCGCATCTTAAAAGAGAAGAGCCGTCTTGAAAATCTAGATCTGTCTCACGACCTACGGAGGGCGGATCAGCTTCTAGATGAATTGGAACTCAGTCGAGACTTGTCGCAATATATCGTCCACGTTGACTGCGATGCTTTCTTTGCTGCAGTCGAAGAACTGGACCGGCCGGAATTGAAAACCGTCCCTTTTGCGGTGGGCAGAGGAGTCCTAACTACCTGTAATTACGAGGCTCGAAAGTTCGGCTGCCGAAGTGGGATGGCCTCATTCGTAGCCGTGAAATTGTGTCCGCAGCTCATCTGCCTCCCCATAAACCACCAGAAGTACAGTGCAAAGGCGCAGGAGATTCGCGCTATCTTTGCCCAATACGACCCGCTCTTTGAAAGTGCTAGCATAGACGAGGCATACTTGAATATAACCGCCTATTGCACGGAAAACCAAATCGATCCGGAAGATGCTGTCAATCGCATGCGAGCGGAGGTATTGGAGCAAACGAAAATCTCCGTGTCTGCTGGCATCGCAGCGAATGCAAAGATCGCCAAGATCGCATCGAACCGCAACAAACCAAACGGCCAGTTTCGCGTCCCTAACGATAGAGATGCCATTCTGGAGTTCATGAAAGATCTACCTGTGCGAAAAGTCAATGGCGTTGGGCGAGTCTTTGAACGTGAGCTGGAAGCAGTTGGAATTAAAACCTGCGGCGATATACATCCTCAACGCGCACTGTTGGCCAAGCTGTTCGGCGAAAAGGCATTCCATTTTCTGGCCCAATGCTACCTTGGGCTAGGGAGAACAAAGATTCAGCCGGTGGAAAACTATGAGCGAAAAAGTGTCGGCACTGAGAGCACGTTCAATGAAATGGGCGGGAAGGAGGCTCTCAGAGAAAAGCTCTGGGCGATCGCCCAGGAGCTGGAGAAAGACCTCACTCGGACTGAATTCAAGGGCCGCACGTTGGTGCTTAAAGTGAAGTTGGCTACATTCGAGGTTCTCTCCCGACAGTGCCAACCACCCCGAGCAGTGTTCTTGGCTAACGATCTCTACACGTTCTCCCTCCCAATGCTAGAAAAGCTCGAGAAGGAGATCCCTAACATGAAATTGCGTCTTCTCGGCCTTCGCTGCACCAATTTGGTAAGCACCAAGAAAGGGGGAATTGATTTCTTCGGTTGGGCCACGCGTTCCAAACCTACTGCTGAGTCGACTTCGGATGCAGCTGAACAAGAGATCAGTGCGGAAGAAGCATTTGAGAGAGCTGCCCGCCAGGAGATACAGGAGGACATGAACGACCTGGAGAAGCTCAGCCAGGAAGTATCTGAGCCCAACGAAGTGGATCAGTCTGAAAAGAACCCTGCCACCCCGTCTGAATCACAGCCTATGTATTGGGATTGCCCAGTTTGCTCAAAACCACAGGTTGCGGATGACCGAGTATTCAATGAACATGTCGACTACTGTCTCTCAAAACAAACTATTAAGGAAGCCATACAAGGGGCTTCACAAGATGCCGAGCCTGTACCACCAAAATTGCGGAAGAGGAAGGGCACATCGCAGGAGCCTGTTGACCCGCGCCAAAAGCGACTGTTCTTCACATGACCCGGTTATCTCCCGAGGATAGTGATCGAATATTCGTAACCTGAGCAACATCATGATCTTTTGCAGAGCAATAGGCACTCTGTGGGGTCCATCCATCCAAAGAATTACCTCGTTTCCGAGATTTCTTGGAGAAAACTGTCTGACTATTGAGTGCGTAGGTCGGACCCCATCTGCCATCTTGCTGTTTTGGCTGTGATACAGTTGGAAAAAGGAGTTCCCCATAAGACATTTTGCCGGCCAAGACGAGGAAAGCCTTTCAATATAGATCTCATCTAAAGCCTGGCATGCTAGTCGTATATCTTCCTTGCATGGCTCGCCTTTGACACGCTAGCCGCCGATCCCGCACTATTGGCAATTTTTGTTGATGTGGAGCGGGAAATATTATGTATATAGAATCTTACCACAACGAAGGCGAAACAGAGAAATACGACATAATAATATAGATATTTAGAGCTTTGTACTTACAAAAGATACACGGAGTATGCAAGAGTCTAACGGGTCGAAACGGTGGACATTGTCCCTTGCCATCTGCCAATGTCGATCGGGATGGGCCGGTGCATCAGCATGCATGAGGGTGACGCCGAAAGGGAGATCTGTAAACATTCGAGTCCCGATCGATCTAGCATTCCAATGCCAATTTGCACCTGAGGAATTCCCCAGAATGTTTCACCTTATTTTTTTCCGTCTTATCAATTTGACAAGTTTCTGGGGAATATTTCGATGCCTGGGAATGTCGTCCAGAGAGTAACGGAGAGTCAACTTTGCGGTGAAAAACAAGACTAAACCGGATTCGGCGACATGTTTAGGTTAGTGTCGTTAGATTTGGTTTAGTTCGGCATCACTTCAACATCTGAACCGTTGCGGTGTTGGCACAACAAAAATCACCTCCAAACTCACCACTCCCTTCCTCCCCCCATTCCCCGATCCTCCGATGTTGATGCTCTCCTCTCACTAATAATATCGCCCCTCTGTCTGCCCTGTTCGTGACCCAGCCAGCTCATTCTCCTGTTTCTGGCTGGTGCCACCATGCTTGCAAATCGCCGTGGAGTGCCGCAATGTCATGAGTCGCCCTCCTTTCCGCCCCTCGAGTCCCGCAACTATGGCCTCCGATAAACAAACCACCAACGGCCCCGTTGCCAAACCCTTCACCCCCTCACTCAGTGCAGCTTTCAACCGATCCACTAAATCACCTCTGACCCCAAAACTTGCCAATCCGGGGGGATATCGTACTCCTCGGCGATTGACCCCCTCCGAACACCCGCTCTCCAACTCCAAGCCGGATTCCGAGTCGGTGTACCTCAGTGCCAACGTTACCCCTCGATCCGGTACTCGCACGAGTAGACGCGATGGACCGATTTCTACCCCGAACACGCCCTCGACTGGGCACTACTCTCCGTCTTACATATCAGCTAGTGGCTCGACAGTAGGAAAGAGGACAGACCGGAGCCCTGTACGGACCGGAGGAAAGCTTGAGCCTCCAATAACCACCAGGGCCAAAGCCTTGACAACGGACGCTCAACGTTCACGACCGAATTCTGTCTGTGGAGCACCCTCCAGTTCACCCAGGTTTTTCCACGCTGCCGATGCGCGATCGAATCCAGATGTTGATAACCGACCAAAGCCAGCGGTGAAGCCATCCCACCCCACTTTTGTATATGCCAACGGAGAACAAGAGGGCCCGCCGGAAGAGCTGAACACAGCATCAGTGTACAAACGACGCTCGACCGGGCTTACTCGCTCTGTTGTTGGCTCTAAACCCCCGTCGGCGTCCCCGCGATTGGCATCCCCCAGGCTAAATGCCTCCTCTCCCCGGCTGTCGGACGGTGTTGGTTCTCAGGCCGGTTCGCAAATCGGCTCGCAGGTTGGCTCGCAAGTCGGCCCACAACTCGGCCCACAGCTTGGGCCACAATTTGGCTCTCAGGCTGGCACTCGATTTGACTTTGCTCCCCAGATAGTCTCGCATATGCCGAGTCCACCCATGAGTCACTTCTCTCCAAAACCAACTACGTCAGCCCCGAGACACATGAAATCATCCAGCGTCGACTCGGGACATGGTACTACCTCTCCAAGAGAACCATTGCGGCCAAGTCCTATCATCATATCCCCGTCCGACACCAAAATCGACGCTAGCGCTGTTACTTTCGAACCAATACTTGGTCTCCGGCCACGGGTTTTCAGCAGTGGATCCGCTGCCTCTGTAGAGACCCATGATTCTTCGCTACATAGTCCGGCCAAGTCTGAATCTGGGCAAGTCAAGGACGATGTGGCTATTAGTGCCCGCACGGAGCGCAAGATCCTTGATCTCGAAATCAGTAACTCGTCACTCCTCGCAATCAATCGCACGCTCGAACGCGAGATGCGGAAGCAAAATGCGGAGCTGCGAAGATATCGACGCCTCAGCCGTGCGGGTCGCCTGTCGGTAGCACCATCCAGCCGTTCCGTTTCCGGGGCTTCTATGGGTATCATGGCCGAAGCGGACGAAAGTGATGAACATGAACACTCTTCGGTTCAGTCAGCCGAGGAACTGTCCGAGTTAAGTGACGAGGATTCTGTGATGGATGAGGGCGTTCTTAGCCCTGATTCCTTGGCTGAGCATGATGCGCGACATCGCGCCCAGGATGAGAAGAAGTTTTTCATCGACCTTGCTAAACATCAAGAGCTTCTGGCCGACAGCCAGAAAATGAACCAGAGTCTTAAACGCTGCCTCGGTTGGACAGAGGAGCTAATAAAGGAAGCCAAGAAAGCCCTTGAGTATTCCGTGCATGTAAATGACATCCACCTTGGAGGACGAGTCCTTGCACCAGAGGAAATAGCCGACCTCCGGGAAAGTGGGCGAGGTCTATTGAGAGCGAGTGATCCCCAGGACCTCTCTTACCTACCGGAATTACCAGACTCGGAGCCAGACTCGGAGGCTGACGAGACCACGGAGGCTGCCACAGAGACAGCCTAGACGGGGCACTGTAAACTTGCCACCACCACCACCACCACACCAATCTTGTATTTCTTTTTCATTTGTTCACCATACTCGACGGCACGTCTACATGATATGGACTTCTCCCCATTCCACTCAGCAACTGTTTTGCATCGTGGCCAATGCTGGCATTGTCCGAGCGGGATACCCATCATTCTTTCTCCCGTCGTTTTCTTCTTTTCAATCTGATTTCCTCTGATCTCTGTAAGCGATAGATGGCCGGCTTCCCTCTTGGTAACCGTTGCTAGATACCCATACGCATAATGAGTTTGACATGTTCGAGTATATGGATTATGAAGGCACGATAAACAGACTTATTCTCAAGCTATAGATAAATGACACTAATTCAACAATGATCTCGCCATAGGCATACATAACTAACTGACCATGTCCCAAGCGTAACCCTAATTCCATCACAATAGACAAACATCCACCTAGAAACATAACCCATAGAAAGAGACATCCCTAACCCCTACCCCCAACATAAATCCAACACTCCCTAGCCCTCTCTTCCCTATCCCCACCCTCAAGAGAAGACGAAGAAGAAAAAGTCAAACCATCGATATCCAACCACCCACGACCAAAATCTACATCAACATCAACATCAACCTCCACCTGGCCCTCCCCATCCAACCCCAAATCCCACCCCCCAGCTAACCCAACCTCCCTCACAGCGCCCCTCCAAGCCCTAACAGGGACCTCACTCGCCGCCTCCAACCGAAAAACAGGCACCCAAACCAGCCGCGCAAGGCCGGAAAGATACCCCGCATGCAGCCCGAACCCACGGATACAGACCCCATGGTTTCGGAACACCCGATCGATGCGCCAGAGCGTCGCGTACCCGGCCTTCTTACCACCCCAAATTTCAACTCGGGGATACGCGGTCGATAGTTTTGTCCAGGGCGTATCCTGGGTTTGGGCTTGAATATCTCGAGTAAGAAGCCTGGTCACGAGGGTAAGGCGGGTCCATGGCGTCGGATCCATTATGAGCTCGTTGGTTGTAAAACTAGGGCTCTGAATCACCAGGTTTTCGCCGAGGGCGAGAGGCACGCTGTGGTCCCTGCACGGAGATACACGCGTGCTGCTGAGGGTAGCCAGGGTGAGGGTAGTCAAGGTGATGGTTGGGCAGTGGGGGTTGAGAACTGCGTCTTCGCTTTCAGTGTCGGAGTCAAGCTCCCACGGTGTCTGTTGAATATAAAGAGGCCAGTTCGACATAGTGCTGTTGGACTCCGGGATGGGGCCGAGATCACATTCGGTCCAGGAGTCGGTGGTGGTAGCCAAGGAGCTGCTGTGTTCGTCTTCTGAGGAGACAAGGCTGTCGTTTGAAGTTGTATAAAGGGATGTTAGGGATGATGCTGTTGTGATGGTGGTGAGCATGGAGGAGAAGCTTTCCATGTCGTCTATGGTTGTATGTGTGTTTGAGGCCCTGCTGTCTGTGGCCATGTTCATCCTTGCGTAAGAGTATGACGTGGTATGTGAGTTTGTTTCGTTGGATGTTGTGTGTGTGGTGTTGTCTGAGATGGTGGACATGTTGGATGTTTATATGCTGGCTTGTATCTCGTTGGAGTTTTGTATATTGTTATGGCCTTTTTCCGTGATCTTTTTACTTAGATTTGATGGCTGTGGTAATACAGGTACTCGTTGTAGTGCCAGGTGAGATGGATGAAGGTGCATCTACGAGGGTGTGAGGCAGCAGAGACGAGTCTATTGATGACGTATCATATAGCTACACCGTTATTATGCAATTCCAATGCTTTTAGGAGTGGATTAGATCTTTATGACGACTATGAGATTGTGATGGTAGAACGCCAGTCTACAATCTTCTCTTCTTCTTATCCGACATCGCAAGACCATGTGACTAGCTCATTGACTATAACGCAGGCACAGTTATTTATGGTGATATCATTGTACATGTATACAGATTGCGATGTGCATGAGTGGTATGACTCGCTAACATTAGATAGTCACTCATGTAGAATGCACATCATCATGACCCACAAATCACTCAGGGCGTCCATCACCGACCTGGTGACCAGCCGTGTAGTTCCCAAAGCAAGCATATTGGTACTCAGCCTTTTCATTCAGCTTGGAAACACCTTTCAGGAAGTCCTTAACACCACAGAAGCCATTGATAGAGCTCTCACATCCATCGACGCCTTCTTGTGAGATAGGAGAACCGTTCAACACGAACCGAATAAGATCTGTGGTGCCGGATGTCGAGGAAAGATCCGGGTTCTTGTATAGCGCACCGTCCAGTTGATGGAAGTTGGTCTTTTCCGGACAAGTCCAGATTTCGGAAATTAGATGTGCCCCGAAAGGTGTAACCTCGTTGAGCTTGAAGTTACGGGGGACAGCGTGGGCCACATCGTCAGGCAAGCCCTTTGATCCATAGTTGAAGTACTTGATCCCCAAGGCGGCCAGAACCCCGACAATCACATCGTCATGGGACATGTCCATATACAATGGCTGGTTGAGAGGGAATGTGGCTGGTTCGGAGTCGATAGTAGTGTTGATACTCGTATCGCTGGTCTCGATCCGCTTGCCCTCTAATCTGGCTGCCAGCTCCAGAACGTATCCAATACCTTGAGCGCGGCCAGTTGGGGCGCCAAACCCATAGTTACCGTAGAACTGAAGGTCAACGAAGTACTCAAAATCGCGCCATTCCTGCTCCGTGAATAACGAGCAGAAGGACGAGCTGCCTAGCGCCGCAGTTTCGTACGGACAGAGACTGAACATACCCACCACATCGTAGGCTGTGAGGTTGAAATCGGGAGGAAGGAAATGCGACAGCCTCTTCAGGGCATCTTTGGTGAGATTCGGGATGAACTTTTCTGCCGAATCATCGCTAAGATGGTCAGCGCATATTATCCAATGAACGAAGTCAGGGGCTTACCCTTCTTCCAAGTCTCCGGGACAGGAACCGTCGGATGCCAGAGTGTTGTTGAACCCGGTACCCTCGTGCGTTATAACCAGATCATACTCAGAATAGGAGCTATTGGCACCAGTATTTCCAAAGAAACCGCCTAACAAGTCAGCATGACACAATGACACCAATGAATGGCGAACGTACTCAACCACCAGCGGGCGCTCTCCAAGATTCTGGCCTGGTCTGTCGTCCTGAAGATTGGTTTCGGTCGCTCGGTCCCATTGGGATAGACGTTCAAAGAAGAATCGTAAGACGCGACGCCGACGGGGGCTCGATAAAGTGCGCGTCCGTACTTAGACCAGACATTCGCACCGGATGTCGCCTCCGTCGCAGCACCAGAGACAAGCAGAAGGTCCTCTCCGAGTACATACTCCCACTCATTCAAAAACGATAAAGCTCCTTTGGCGACCGTGGTGTTGTGATGGCCCTTGGTGTAATTCTTGACCTTCTGGGCAAAATCTTCTACTACACCACCGTCTAATTGCCACGACGTGGGATAGCGCTGTGCGTGTCTATGGAGCACATGGACTTGGGAGAGCTCACAACCCCTTGGGACACCGTTCGGCACCTCGAACCCAGGCTGATCCTTGTAAGGGCTAAGGTTACCCCAGCTGGTGGACATGTCAAACCCAGACGGGTAGGTAGTCCCAGTCGGACCAGATGCCGCGGCCGATGAGCTTGGGGTGGGTGCTGCATCGCCTACTACTACCTGGAAGGCGAGTAGGGCCGCGGTTGATTGCAATATCTGCTGCATCTGTAGTTAAATATAATAGCTTCGCTCTTTGTGCTCCGCTATGAACTTATTCGAACGGTTGGTGGTCGGGAGTCGTAAGTCGGGACGCGAAATTGGTGGGTGGTGGTATGTCTTAAATAGTATAAGCTCCCTGTTCATGGCCGGTGAAGGCAGGCAGATAAGAAACTGGGCTATTTAAAACCAACCGTCAAAGCATAAATACTGAAGAGATCTGCGCGGCGCCTTCCGTTACGGGCATTCCGCAAGGTATCATCGTGCCTGTGGATCGGTGCAATCCGCCAGTGAGGGGGGCATGGCTTTGGACTAAGGATGCTTAGAGGGATTAGCCTGCTATTAGTGAGTAATGCATAGCGTGATCGATTGGATGGTTTCTTCGGGAAGACATGGGTAGAAATTATAGGTAGTTGATTATAGGGCTTTGTTTCCCGTTTGACTGAGCCAAAGGTCCGAAAAGGGTATGTGCTCACGCGATCATCGATTTCCCCTTTTGTTGTAACTCCTTTGCTATAGCAGTGACACAATTCTTGCGGGGTTACACGTTCGATCTTCGACTTTCAGATTTAAATCTAACCGAAACATGGGGAAGTGGTATTGGCGTCGTCTCCATAATAATCCCGCAATTATAACCTAAACCCTGAGGGGGCTTGGAGGAATGTGAGCCAACCCTACCCACGTATGCGTGCCAGGCTGCCTACCATAAGCCAATACCCAGATACAGTGAGAAATTATCATTGTCGGAAAGAATAATGGATAAAATTTGATCTCAATATCGTAAAATACCAAGTGCTAGAAAGAGGCTCGATGAAGCTATGTCTGTCGATGGGCTAGAATATATTTAATTGCTCACGGTACTACTCCGCTCTCGTAACTATAGCAGCATCGAGAACAACGCAAGCACCATTCGTGACATATCACACAGACACTTTGAGAGTAAGAAGTTTTATTACATACAACCGAGATATATGGTTTTGACCAGAGCCATAGGCGAGGCTGCGGATTGCTACAACTGGAGGTAGAACAGGTATCCAACAATCTAATCCACCCATGAATAATCAGACATCGCTAGGGCATGAAGGCACAAAATGATACATTAAGAAGGGTAGAAGAGAGAAGGCACAGAAGGTATGCACAAAACACAAGGGGTAATCGATTATGTATCGAGAACAGGTATCTAAGCGGTGGATTCTTCGACGTGTTCATGCTTGGACTTCTTCTCTTTCTTCTTCTTCTCCTTCTCATCCTTGCCCTTCTTCGTCATGGCATCGGCCATAAGTTGCTCAAACGCCATGTAGTCACCTTCCTCTTCGGGGTCACGCTCCGCCTGCATTGTGTTAGTACCCCAGCATGTTAAGAACGTGGAGGCCTTGATTGTGCTTACCTTTTGATAAATATTACCCGCAATGACCAGGGCATGAGCACGTTCGACACGCTTGTCCAACTTGATCTTCTTGTCGCCCAGGACTTGATCGCACACCTCGCGCAGCACGCTCTGAATCTCGAACTTGCTGCCCCGCCAAGCAGCCGCCAAGATCTTGCCAGTGACCTTCTTCTCATACTCAGCTCTCTTCTCGTCGGTCCAGTCTTCGCCACCGCGCTCTTCCAGCTTGGCCATTTCTTCCATGGTCATCTGTGCATCAATGGCAGTCGAGATGGTGGTCCATGTCTCCTTGGCGAGGGTACCCTTGTCCTTCAGCCGGGAGAAGAAGCCCGAGATACCGAGGAACTTCTGGGACTTCAGGAATGAGCTACCTTTTTGGATGTATGTCTGACCGATCGCATGCAGGATTTCAAGACCGAACGACTCCATCTTCAGATTCTCTACCTCGAGACGGATCTTCTCCTCAAATGCGCGTGTCACATCGGCGCCCTTGTCCGTTTCGGTCCAGACGCTGATCTTGTCCACCAGCTTCGTGGCTAACGTGTTGACTCGTTCCTCGCGGGCCTTCTTTCTCTCCAATTCGTACGCAGCCAAGCGCTCCTCCTGTTCCCGGGACAAGCCGCCTTTCTTCTTGCTCTTCTTGTGTAGTTCCTTTTCCTCCGCAGACTGGCCCTCTGCCGCCATCCGTGCCTCCTCCTCGGATCTGTCCATGATGGCTTGTTGACCAAGGTAACGACGAGGCGTACTTGTGCCGGAGCTGGGCGCTGGGGCGGGTTTCTCGAATTTCTCTTCAGAAGCGGGGGCATCCGCAGCAGTTGCACTGCCAGTAGGAGCAGGAGCGGAAGCAGCAGCACCCTCTGTGGAGGCACCAGCCGCCGCGTTGGTGTCATTGTCGTGGATATTCAGTTTCTCCTCCGCGGATGCAGCCAGTTCATCCTCCTCCATCTCCTGCATGGTGATATCCATCGTGGTGGTGAGGTCCTTCATCAGAGAGATTTCACCGATAAGATCGACAAAAGCGTTGCCACCAAAAATCATGCTGAAGAACTCCGACGGGTCCTCTGTAGTCGGGTGTTAGCCAAGAATATGCTATCCGCGGTACCCAGCACACATACCGAAACCACCACCGGGGACTGCATCCTCCTTGCCAAATTTATCATATCGCTTTCGCAGTTCTTCGTCGCTAAGGACTTGGTAGGCTTCTCCAATCTGGAGGGAATAGTAAGTATCAAGAGCTAGTGGGAGAAGATCTTCACAGCAACGCAAGAACTAGCGTACCGCCTGGAATCTCGCATGCGCAGTCTCATCACCGGGGTTCTTGTCTGTGGGTGATTAGGATCAAGAGAAAAATATATGAGGTGAGCGAGTGAAGCATACCGGGGTGAGTGACAATGGCAAGTTTACGGTATGCCTTTTTAATCTCTAGTTCGGTTGCCGTGGGAGGCACCCCTAGGGCATCGTAGTACGTGGTGTCTGCGACCATGATGCGGTATTTTGTGGAGTTCAACCCAACAGGACGTATACCCCGGTTGTCCCCAGGGCCACAGAGCAGTAATATCTAAGGATACGAAAAGAGATAAAGGGGAGGATCCGAAAATAAAAGACGAAGAAGACAGGCAAAACAGTCGGAGTAAGTATTGATAGGTACACAACTAACTTTTTTTTTTCTGCCTGACGATGCTTTCCGACGGGAGTTTCGTCATGCGCGGGGTGCCTGTGACTTTTGTCCGAACCCCAAAAGGGACTGTATTGTCACCGTATTGTCATGAAGATGGTAAGCCACACCGCTTCATATTGTTCATCAGGGGCGTACTGGTCGTAATCCCGCGTCATGCGCACCAGCCTCTCCGCCTAGACACGCTAATAGGCTCTAGCCACAAGCTAGAGCTCTCAACCGAACGTAGACGTCTTTGTCCCTCTCATTTTAAAATCCCTGCTGCTCTTCTTTTTTCTTCCTTTTCAACGATCACTCCCTCCATCTTCACCTCCTCTTTTCTCTCCTTTTTTTTTTACCGCAAACTTCCCTAATTTCCCTTCACTCTCACCTCTCTCTCACCTCTTACTCGATTGTCCTACCTTCCCCCTATTTATCCCCGTTATCTTCCGTCAATCCTCTCTAGTTTGTGAGACGATTCGCAATCTGTCCACTACTGTACAATAACAACTTGTCACATCCGCAACTTCACTCCCCCACATTCCTGTTTCCCTGGTTTTCTGTATGACTATTGCCTGTTGACACAACATATCTATTTAATTTGGTTGCTATTGCTTAATCTGCCTCCCCATTATTTCTTCCCTGTACTGTGACGGTGTACAACCGCCATCATGCGTGCGACTGAAGTCCTCTATTATATGCTCCGGCCCAGCCAGTTGAGGGCCATCGTTCAGTGGTAAGTTTGCATACCCCCACTTGCATTGTTTTCCTCTGAAGGTGTGTGTGCCAACGCTTACAGAGGTTCATTTTTTCCTTGCAATAGGAAAGTCTGGCATAACCCTGTCCATGAACGAAATGTGAAGAATGAAACAGAGACACAGAAGGCTTGCTTCAAGTTCCTCGACTTGACAAGTCGGAGTTTCAGCGCGGTGATCCAGGAGCTGCATCCCGAACTGTTGCTCCCAGTATGCGTATTCTACCTCGTTCTTCGCGGTTTGGATACCATCGAAGACGACACGTCGATTCCTCTAAAAACCAAGGAGCCAATGCTGCGAGAGTTTAAGGACTACCTGGAACAGGACGGCTGGACGTTCGATGGGAACCGCCCCGAAGAGAAGGACCGTGAACTGCTGGTTCAGTTTCACAATGTCATTGCCGAGTTTAAGAACATGAAGCCGGCTTACCGGGAGATTGTCAAGGATATCACTGACAAGATGGGCAACGGTATGGCTGATTACTGCCGAAAGGCGGAATTCGAGGATGCCAGCGTCAAGACAATCGAGGAGTATGATCTCTACTGCTACTATGTAGCCGGCTTGGTGGGTGAAGGACTGACTCGCCTCTTTGTTGAGGCGGAGTTCGGCAACCCAGCATTGCTCACACGCCCGCGTCTCCACAAATCCATGGGACTCTTTTTGCAGAAGACGAACATCATTCGTGACGTGCGGGAAGACCACGATGATGACCGACACTTCTGGCCCAAAGAAATTTGGTCCAAGTATGTCACCGAGTTTGAGGACCTCTTCAAGCCCGAGAACCGCGAGACTGCTCTCAACTGTGGATCCGAAATGGTTCTCAATGCTCTGGAGCACGTCGAAGAGTGTCTGTTCTACCTCGCTGGCCTCCGCGAGCAGAGTGTTTTCAACTTTTGCGCCATTCCCCAGGCTATGGCCATTGCTACCCTGGAGCTTTGCTTCCGTAACCCGGTCATGTTCGATCGTAATATCAAGATCACCAAGGGCGACGCCTGTCAGTTGATGATGGAGTCGACCCAAAACCTCCATGTTCTCTGTAATACCTTCCGCCGCTATGCGCGCCGGATCCATCAGAAGAATACTCCTAAGGATCCCAACTTCCTCAAGATCAGTATTGTTTGTGGAAAGGTATGCTATCACTGCTTTGAATGCTGGCACATTACCATACTGATGATTACCCAGATTGAGAAGTTCATGGACACGATCTTCCCCCAGCAGACTGCCGCTCAAGCCAAGCTCAAGGTGCAAGGCGAGAAGTCGGAAGCTGAAAAAGAGAAGGCCAAACTGGAAGCTGAAACGCGCCAGGATCTGTACTTCATGTTGGCTTTGATGGGTGTGATTGTGCTGATCGTATCAATCATAATGGTATGTTCTTGACAACATGAACCGTGATGAATGAGACTGACTGTTCTTAGCTTACTACTGCGTGGCTACTGGGCGCCCGCTTCGACCTTGCGTGGCAAGAGCTGAGGACCGGCAACTTCCGTCCCCCTGCCAAAAAGATTCCCGGAGAATTGTAAGCGTGAGTTACGGATTTACGACGCCTTTGTTTTATCAGCAGATGACCGCGCATGGCTCTTGTTTATATTACCCTTCTTGCCATGACGCTATATGTTTAACTAATAACGATAATATCTTCTTCCCTTTCACCCTCTCTGTTTACAGTATTACTTGTGTGGGAACAGTGGCAGGTCAACTAGCACGGATGTCAAATTGCAATCTAGCCCTTTCATGGCTGTGGTTGTGCCGAAGAAGTGCTGAAATTGAGAGTGAGATTTCTCCGACCAGTGACGTACTAGATGTGTGTCCTGCAGCTTTGCTGAGATGGCATACCTCCATTGACGATCTGGAACATCCTTGTATCTTCGCCTTGTAGTGCTTTGTACACGTATCGTACTATGATAGTCTAGTCTACTACTGAGGTAGTTGAATACCATTGATTGATTATACACTTTCTTTCCATTGATAATATTCTTATCGTATTTTCTGATAAACAACTAGCCTACGCCATATCCCATCCCCATAGAGTATCACCATCCATCTAGAATCCATCAACATACTACACCCCAACCAACCCAACCAAAGAAACCCCCAAACCTCCATACCCACCGCCCTCCACCTCCCTCGCAGCCTCCAGAAAATCCCCAACCGTCAGCCTCAACCCAGCCTCCGAAACCAAATCCTCCCCATCCCCAAGAACCCCCCTCTCCAAGGGACCTGGCATCCCCCCATTCAACTCCCAAACCCTCCCCTCCTTGCCTTTCACAAACCCCAAAAAATGAAACCCGTTATGCTCCTCAGGCCCCGGCACGCTCGAACTGCCCCCGCGCGCCGCATCCATATGCGCCTCCTCCAGAAACAAGGCCTCATACACCACCCGCGCGCGATCCTCTGGCGCCAGGGAGACCAGTTCCTGCCGTAGTTTCTCCAACTCAGACCCGCGGGCCAGGTGCGCCCCAGCGTCGAGATTCAGCACGCAGTGCAGGAAGGCCATGAGGCCGCAGGCGTGGCCGATGGTTTGGGGGATCCAGATTGGGTCGGTTTCCTTGGGGGTGGTGTATTTGGGGAGGGTGGATTGGAGGGCTGAGCGGGCGCGGGCGTAGATGGGCGCTGCGGCGAGGAAGATTAGGGCGTTGATTGGACGGGGCACGTCCGTGGGGGGAGGGTCGAGGGTGAAGATGTCGTGGAAGGCAAGGGTTTGGATGGAGAGGGCGGTGGCTAGGTGGGTGTGGACTGTGGGGTTGTTTTCTGGTTGGTTTATCGTTAGTTGACTGATTCATGGTACGCTGTGTAGATTGTTTGGGATGGTGGGGAGGTATGTATGTATGTGGGTAGGTAGGCAGGTGTATACCTAGGGGAATGAAGGTCTTAACTCCGTTGATGATTTTGGCGCCGGTGGGGAGTGTGGTGGACATGGTTTTTTTTGTTGATGATAGTGGTTTATGGATACTGCGTGGTTTGATGAGTATGAAGGGGACCTTGGTATGTGGTGGTGAGTGTTTCTGTTGGATGTTTGTATTATATTAAATCTCCAATTATTATTAGGCAGAGGCGGGTGACGCAATGTACGTATGAAGGAATCGGTGCCTCAGGATGGCTGTTAACCCGACATGCATGAAGAAGTTTACTAGGTAGTATTCACTACAGCGATCTGCATACTGACTGGCAGTAGTGGCATTGCCTGAAGTCTGAATTGTTTGATCGGCATTGCTTAACTATACGCCGGGAAGTATAATCCAGTCCCAGTTCCTAGTACCCAACATCTGTTGTTTTGTTGTTTTATCCAAATACGAGCTTGAGTATTATGATCATATAGCTGAGTTACTTATACAAGTGTATAGCCAGAAAAAGAATTCTTGAAAAGGATTGCTTCCCCACTTTGAAAAGAATGTAGGTAGATATGCTTTCGAACATTGCACCACTCCACCCTATGATGGGAATCTATTATATTGCTCCCATTGGGTCATATATTTGTTCGCTTGGGTCAGCTACCGTCGCATATTGTCTTGCGGGTGTATCCAACCTAGCTCCCACATTCTTCTATTCTCGATGAGTAGTCGAGACAGGTTAGTCATGGTGGATATACTTAACATACGGCGTGATTCCGAATAGACAACGCTCTTGAGCCACGAATACTGGCAGAAGTGCGCTGTAATATGAGGTTTGCTTTCACGGCTGTCCTCAAATCAGGAAGCATAACACGTGTAGTAACAATTTACTTCAATTGCACCATGATATTGAGCTGAGCGATGCGTAAAAAGCAACAAAAGCCAGCCAATATACTGGTACCAAGAGAGGCGTTCAACTCGACGAGGAAAGATACCTCGTTGATGGGACTTGTGAGTCTCAAATAACTTGAATCACTGCCAATCCTCGCAGCTGACATCATGGGACATGATTAGCTGCAAAAGCCTTGTACTTGCCTAGAACGAACACTGTGAAGGATCACTTTCATCGATGATCTCCAATCTTGAGGCAGCAGGGCGGAAGTTAAGTCTCCGCTTAGCCCTAAAAACCTACAGATTCCATGCCATATGGAGTGTGGTACTGACATAGAACATCTCTCTCAGGTACCCCTACATTGCATCTTCAAGTCAAGTCTGACTATGAAATTAACTCTCTATGGCCCATTCAAGACTACGGTGGCCAAGGAAAAGAATAACACAGCCACCTTTGCTTGGTAGCGACTTTCATCTGAGAGGCCATAGAATGCTTGGCGTCGGGATGCCGAGACTCGTTATCTACCGAGCGCCTTTACTGTCTATTTATTAAACTAAATGGTCTCCCGCCTCAGTTCTCTTGTCGTCTTCAGTCCTCACACAGCTCTCGCAAGCTCAGCTTCAACCCTCACCTTGCAATCGACCAACTCCCCATTTATCAAAAGTGACCCCATATATTCTGATGGAGTCTGTTACCGTCAACAGATTACTAGTACAAAACCACCAGAAAATACTAGTATTACCTATATAGCTAGGCTGACAGTATCAATCTGCGCCACTATATCATTACTTATTGATACTCAACGACCAACGACTGAAACCAGTAGTAAAACATGGCCATCAGCGAAACAGCCTTCGCTTACCACGAGCCAGCCATCAGCACAGTCCTCAACCAAGCAGGCTTCCTCCTGGTCCTCAACCTAGTCAACGTGTGCCTCGACAAACTTGTCTATTGCGGGCTAATTGGCCAGCTCTTCATCGGCATCCTCTGGGGCACTCCCGGCGCAAAATGGCTCACCCGCGACATGGAAATCGTGATCCAACAGCTCGGCTACCTCGGTCTAATCATGCTGGTTTACGAAGGCGGGCTCTCAACATCTCTCCCCTCCCTGAAAGCGAACCTGCTGCTTTCGCTCGCAGTAGCCATCACTGGCATCGGCGCTCCAATGGGCCTCTCCTTCATTCTCACTGAGCTAGTAGCCGCAACGCCCCTCCAGGCCTTCTCCGCCGGAGCGGCTCTGAGCGCAACCAGCCTGGGAACCACGTTCACCATCCTCTCGACCACAGACCTGATCAAGACACGACTGGGGACGGTTACTACCGGCGCAGCCATGCTAGATGATGTGGTGGGGCTGGTGCTGGTTCAGATTATCACTAATCTCGGTGGAAGTAGTGAGTCGTTCAGTGCTGTGACTGTTGTACGGCCAGTTTTTGTTTCCATCGGGTTTGGGGTTGGGGTGTTGCTGTTGTGTCGGTTGGGCATCAGGCCTTCTTTAAGGCTGCTTCTTGCCCATAAGCATAGGTTCCCGGCGTTTACGGGGTCAGTTCAGTTTTATTTCCTGGTGTGTACGTGTCTGCTGGTGGGGATGGTAGCTGGGGCCACTTATGCGGGCACGTCGAGTCTCTTTGCTGCGTATCTGGCTGGCGTGATGACTTCTTGGATGGATGACTTCTTGAAGGAGAATTCCGGGGCAGTAGATGCTTGCAACGCGACCACTGAGCCTGACACGGAGAATACCTCTCAAGAGGAGGGTTCCACCCCGCAAGAGAAGGATTCCAACCACCATGACCAGACCAGTCGCCAACAGACTCCCAGTGCCAAACACGAGACTCCCACCGGCAATCTGGTGTACGAAAAATACTACCACGAACCGGTGACCAGAATCCTGGTCCCTCTGTTCTTCGTAAGTCTATTCACTCCCAATCAAACAAACAATGAAACCTACTAACACGAATGACCGAAGGCATCCATCGGCTTCGCCATCCCCATAACAGAAATGTTCAACGGCAAAATCGTCTGGCGCGGCGTCGTCTACGCTATCCTCATGACGTTGGGCAAGTTAATCACCGGCCTCTGGCTCGTGCGGTTCTCGTCTCGACCCGTTTCAAGTGTCCTCCGGGTTCTCAAGAAACCGTTTTCCCGCGTCGTCCTGTTCTGCGCGAGTCCCAGAGCCGGGTCCAAGAAGGGAAAGGAAGGGAACCCGGAGACAACACAACAAGATTCCCCAAACCTGCAAGACCAGTCGCACGACCAGCCATCGCCAACCCACCTGGCTACCCAAGCGCACGAAGCTGTCGACGACGAACCACAAACCCAACCTCAACAGGCGAATCCGAACACACAGTCCACCTCGAGTCTCCCGCCGAAGCCCAAATCCCTCTATCCAGCTTCTATCCTGGGCCTGGCGATGGTCTCCCGCGGTGAAGTCGGATACCTCATTGCTTCGCTCGCTGAGTCGAAGGGCATCTTCGGGACTAGCTCTAGCGGTGGCTCGTCGGAGACGTATCTGGTGATTGTTTGGGCGATCTCGCTGTGCACGCTTTTTGGGCCGATTTTTGTCGGGACGTTGGTGAAAAGGGTGAAGACTTTGCAGAAGATGAGGGTGGATCAGGGTGGGGAGGATCCGTTGGGTGTTTGGGGGATTTAGATTGGTTTGGTATATGTTGGGAGGTGGATTTTGAGAGGGTAGAAGAGACAGTAGAAGTGCTAGATTTAGACTGGGTAGAGCAGTGGATGGGACGCTGTGATGAAATTTATGGATATATTTACCGTAGTAGAATATCCCACTGATAAGTGTGCTGGAAGCTTTTCTCAAAAGAATATATTGTTGATGCTGTTAATATGGATTATCAGGTTTCCAATGGACATGGAAGCAGAGGGTCAAAATAGAATCCTGTCAAGCTGACCTCAAGGTGATTCAGTGCTATTGCTGTGCCAGTTTCAGATTTTATTTGAATGTTTGCATTCCAGATATGGTATTGAGATGGGATGGCCCCTTTCTTCCAAACTAAGCAAGTCTGCAAGATCAGAGGCTCAAATTTAACATATGAGATTCAGTTACTCTCACTATATCGGGGCATTATCAGTCAACATCTTATTAGCATGTATGATGGATACTGGACTTGGGGGTAGGTTATGGCGGGTGGATGAGATAGCACGGTTGAGTATTCTCCAGAATCCTTGCATGGATTCGTCACCAGAGTTTGGGAATATGCCCAATTTTGAGATAGTGAGCGCGAAGTATGTACACATTTCAGCCTTAGTTGACTAGATCCAATCAATGAGAGTCCCCTGGCTGCACTGAAATATTTTGAGATAAACCTATATTTGTGGGGCGGAGTCCTGTATTGAACTGCATGAAAAGATATACTCTGCCTAGCAGCACTTGGGTTGTTCGGCGTGATGTTTGCCGATGACTAAGACCGGTGGGTCACGCACTGGACGGACTGGGGTGGTTCTAGCCACGAAACGAACCACCTCTCTGACGAAGCAATATCAGGCAAGGCAACTTTTCAAAGGTACTAATTACATTAACTCTACATGTTCAAACCAAGACTAGAGAATAGCCGAACTAATTAGAAGTCAGGCCTAGAGCCTAGAAGAGCAGGTATAGATGGCGATCAGATCCTAGAATTCACCCTGGTCATCGCATTCCTCTTCCTTAGTTCCTAACATCCCGTCAACGCAACATCATTAATAATTATACCCAAAATCCAAATGTTCACTGCAAAGAAACCCAAACTAGCGAGATACAATCCTGGTACGAAGCTAGACAACCCGAGAAACTCGAGATAGTAGCCTTGTTGGAGCCAGAGGGCCTGGTGTTCTCATTAGCACCGCAGCTGCAATCGTGGTGTGTTGCTCTTATTGACTTTGAACGAAAAGAAGAGGAAACAAGGGCGTATGCATACCTGAGCGATAACCCATAGAGCTGTGACTGCAATGCCCAGCCTTGGATTCTTCATCAACGATGAGGAAGGTAGGTAGAACGGAAGGAAGATGAGATACCAGAGGAAATACTTTTGCACGCGTCAGTCTTCACATCCTGGGCCTGAACGAGAAGCTTAGGAACGAATAGGAGACGCATACCTGGCTCGTGCACACTTTGTTGAATGTAACGAATGCGAAGGTCTGGGCGAGCATCGCACCTGGTAGGCTTCTTTTGGCCAAAACGATCGGGATAACGACAACAGAGAGAAGCAGCTGGGGAATGAAGGCTAGTGACTCAAAGCTCCCCTGGACGTCTCCAGCAGAAGAGAGATAAAGGAGGCTGCTGTAGGGTGAAAAGTTGTGGCGATGGTCGATACGAGTCAAATGGTGCAGATAGGTATGCTGCGCGAAAGGAAAGTCGTAGAGGATGTACATGGAGATGTTGAGACCAGAGAAGGTGGCCAGTGCGGTGGTAGTGAGAAGAAGACGAGAGGGTGTGATGAAGTTGAAGATGTGGGTAAAGAGATTTCGATCTTCTTGCTCCGCCTTTTGCTTTTGTGAAGATAGTTTCTGCCCTTCGTGCTCTTCGTCAAGCCACCAGATGATAGATGGCCCATAGATAAAGGGGTAAATCTTGAAATGCACGCTGAGCCCGAGAAGTACTCCGGCAAGAGTGATTCTTCTGTTCAAGACGGCCCAGAGCAAGGCAATGACTAGCACACATAGGAGACCCTCAGAGCTTCCTCGCGTGCTAATATTGGCGACCATAGGGTTCAGTAACCAAACGCTAGCATACTTGAGAGCGCGTGGTGGGCTCATGCCGTAAAAGGACGTGAGCGCTTTCGCAATAAGCCATCCGGCTACCACGTCGGAGAGTGCGAAAAGGACTTTGCCATATGAGAAGAAGCCATCCCAGGAGGTCGGTAGAAGCAACCACGCGAGCAGAGGCGTGTACCGATACGTATCTCGAGCGTACGGCGAAGCGCCCTTAGAAACGTACCGGGCTGCGTCGGTGAAGACCATGTAGTCGATGTCGGTGTATTTGACGGCTGAGTGGGCATCCTGCCAGGCGCCATAAACAAGAAGAAAAGCGCGCAAGACAACCGCGGCACCAAACACTAGTGATGGTCTCTCAAATAAAGAAGCCATGACTGACAACTCTCTTATTGACTAGAGTTCATCAGGGTCCGTCAGTAAGCTGCAGGTTTTCCGAAACTTAAATCTAATGCACACATCAATTGATTGCGCAACAGAGCTATAGGATGGTGATATGATAATCTATAACCGGTTAGACCTGTGGGCATTTACTTTATGTGGCAGCTGGGTTCCAATGGGGATTGCAGATGTGGCTCGGAAGCATAATGAGTGGTTTTTGGCGTTTGGCGTTTTGGCTGAGTCAGCATACTGGCGATCCTTGCACAAATTCAAGTAACAACTTTTATGCATTTCACTCTGTACTCGAAAAATAGGCATCCAAAAACCGATGATCATTCATATACACTATATGCTCTTTTAAATATCCCGGTTATATACGCTCATCCATTCCGTGTTGTTTGCTAATAGATAACTCGCTTTGATGCATGCCCAGAGAGAGGAAAGTGAAAAAGAAAAAAGAACGACATAAGAAGAAAGAAATAGTGCCCTTAGCCAGAAGGGCTACTTATTTTAGAAATATGTGACCCTTAGTAGTAGGGTAAAGGTGGATTTGCATAGTAGGCACCATCGCCCATCGAGCCCCCCATAAAGGCTGCGCCATTGTTGGTATATTTCATGATTTTGTCTGTTTGGGCGAACAACGATTCGTCATTGAAGCTGTTAGTGTCCGTGATTCCAGGCCATAGGCTGCTATCACTCCAGCTCAGGAAGTCCCACAGATACTGGGCCGTTGAATCATCGATGACTGGAGGCGCAAACGGATCGAAGCCTGCTTCATTCTGGAGGAAAATGTTCTGGGGCGGAAGAATCCCCGAAGTGGTTCGAGGCATTGCCCCTTCGCGTGAGAAAGCATACATGCTGTTGACGACGCCAGTATCATTAGCCATGTTGGTCCCTCTTTTACTGGCCTCCAGTATCTGCGACACGGCATCCAACGTCCGTTTTGCAGTCGGGCTCCATTGTTCCAGTCGGGCCAGTACAAGCATAGCCATCTCAACCTGAGACTGACAACTCGAAACAGTGGCTCTAGGGTCACTCGTTGTGTTGTCATTGAGAAATAATCCCAGTAGTGGAACCATGACTGCTTGGAATATGAGCCAGACAGCACTCCAGCCCGACATTTGATGTGACTGAGCCGTGGAAGAGATGTCTTGAATTGTAGCCTCCGCGATCTGTCGACACCTTTCGATCGCCGTCCGCTCTTCAGACCGGAGGGCAATATATGGAACCCGTCGCATGGCGTAGCTGAGTAGGGTTGGACGGTATATAAGCATACGTTGGTTGTAGTACCGCCATTTCATGACTGTCCTCGTGATGATAATCGATTCGGAGCATGGTTCGTGGTCTTTGAGGATATACGGAAGGTTCTCATACCACTCTAGTAGTTGATTATCAAAGTGCGACATTTCGTGGTACCTCGTCAACGGAGCGGCAGCCAGGATTTCTTGGATCTGTGTCGCAATTTTGCAGAACCGAACGTTTTCTAGAAGCGGTATAATGTCGAGAACATTTCCCTAGAAGGGTTAGAATGACAGAATCACAGAATTCGGACGCATACATACCCTTTCTCGGTACTGCGGCAGTTTAACGGTAATCGTTGGTCCAAACCGTCCCATGCTCGGTCGTCCCAGAGTCATACAGCCCCAAGTGTCCAAGCAAAACAAGGACCACCACACTCGCCTTTTCAGGTCGGTCGAATATATGTTTTGTCTACAAGACCCTTCCTGATTATCCGAAAACTCTTTGTGTAGGCCCAAAGCTGCAGCCATGCGCAACGCAGCTCCCATGAGCGAATATGCCAGATTGGGCTGACTGACGTAATGAAGATATTGCCCTCCCAAAAGACCGAGGGCCTGTATGGTCTCTATATGTGAGGAACCAAGCGATTCTAGATTCAAGTAGCTCTTACAACGCTGGGCGTAAATTGTGTGGGACATGTCATCGGATGGACACGCTGCGATGCTACCCAAGGCAAGCACAATGTTTAGCAGTGCCAGCCAACGTTCATCCTTTCTACACCCCGAGTGGTAGATTTCGCGGAAAATCTGCTCATCTAACATGGGCACGAATGGCTGAAAATAAGTAAAATAGGCGTCGAGCAACTGCATCTCTGTCACTGGTCGATGGCGTTGAGGGGGCGTTATTGGTTGCTGAGACTCTTGGACCGGCCATGATTGTGTCTCTGCTGGAGAGTATCCCAGGGTTGAGTCCCTGGAGTCTGTGTTGGTCGAAGAATGAGAGAAGTAGGAGAGGGCGCCAGGGTCAAGGCAGAGAATCACTTTGAGAACAGCATTGATAGACGACACCCCTAGATAAGAGGAAGGCTGTCTGGATGAGAGTGACAAGGCATTGACGTCGTCCGAGTAATTATTGGATATCTCCGAGTTCTGAAGATCACTCGATTCTTCAGGCATCGTCTGCAATGATTCCAGATTACCATCCTCGTTGGAGATGGGGGAGACATGGGCTTCGACCGATGCCGAGGTAGCTGGCGATGCTGGGTGTGGCGGCTGCGTCTGCAGCTGGGATGACTTGCCTGTCAGCTCTAAGAGCCTTTCGCGAGGCAGGCTAACTAGATCTTCGGGTGGGATATTGGGGAAGAGTTTCTCGAGCACGCCCCGATACTCATCTAGGGTAGTGGACAGTTTTTCTACGTGTCTGCATTTTCAACCCCATGTAAGCCATGTATAGATCTTCCACAGACTTGGTGGGGATTTAATTGTGGGGAGGAAGGGGCATTTATCGCTGATTAAAAATCAAAAAAGAAAGAGAGTAACCCACCTCCGGGATGGCCGGGGATCTGCATAATGACACTGGTCGGCTTTCTTATACCACCGACATGCTTCGCACGGCTTTTCGCCGTCACATTTGATCTTGCGATGCCTGCAGGATGTACAGGCACGGAGGGTAGTGACACGCCGGCCGACAGAGGGCTGGCGCTCACCACGACCCCGGGCTGGGGCCGAGTTGTTCGGGTTTTCGAATCCTTCAAATGTGTGGAACATCTCCAAGAATCGGTTCTAGGCAATCTCAGACAATGGTAAACAGAAGACACCCACTCAGCTGATGCATTTAGATCCAAATTGATCAGAAACAGCCATTGGAGGTAGCAGACGTCCAGCAGTTTGGATGCAGCCGAGTCCAGGGATTTTTTCTGGAGACAGCGGAGGTTGACTAGTCTAATAATATAATAACGCCAGGGAAAAGGCCGCCACCGTCCAACTTTGCAGCGTACTAGAAATGAGACCCTGCAGATTGTGGGCTGGTGATTAAAGGGGTGGCAATTAGGGGGGGGGTTCAGAATGAATGCCTTTGGACGACACGGCAACTGTCACTGTTGGATGTGCACTAAGAATAGAGGCCTCCAAAGAGATAAGAAAAACTGGGTAAAAATTTATTAACAAGATAAGACCGCGTTGTCGATTACGATCAAGGGTTATGGGAAAGGTGTCTGGGACCGGATGGGGCCAAAGAAGAATATTAAGAGTGTTTGAGAGTCGAACAAAAACGGGTGATGCGCGAGGATGAGTAGAGAAAGTTAAGAGTGGAGGCCGATGGAACCGTCTAACCCTATCGCCAACCATGCTGAACAAACCCTCGTTGGCAGATCGTCCTGAGATTGTCCGCGGTTTCCCCGCATTTCTTGATTAATGCATGCACGCAGAGGAATTAAATTCTGTCCTTTCTTCTACCATTCGTTGACCGAGTGCTGGGTCCCAGTGTATCCTCTGATATCCGACGCAGTTTACCCATCGCTTAGCCGCTGACCTTGTTGGCCAAATGACACCGTGTCTGTCTATTGCCCCTCGTGACGCTAGGTGAGGAGTCTACGCTTCTACACGGCGTCGTGGGAACCTAGAAAAGCGCGCTATTCATGGAGTGGAGGGGTTAGGACCATGTGCTGGTCTCTACCCTCCTGCCAGATAAACAGGAAACCCACTCCATCCCATCAAGCCCCGGCTCCTGTCATGGAAACACCGTCGGCTTCCATTTCTACTTTAGATTGTTCTACGTATTTAGAGGTGCTGGCACCACTTTTACTGTTAATGAACCGGGTGGCGTGCATCTGCATCTCCCGAGAGACATCCATAGACGCAAGACAGCATGATGCAGGAAATCGGGGAATTACGGCCTGCCAGTGGATCAGGAAAATATCCCGCTCGTGAACTTGAAGACTCCCGACGAGGAATACCGGGAAACACCCCTGCTGCAGCAGAAGGAACAGTAGAATTGTGCCCAACCGCTTAAACACAGTGTGGCCACAGCCAATCTGAACAGAAAATCCACGCAGACGAATAGCGACCTTGCCCACTTTTCTGCACAGAAAGCGCTGCAGAATCACATTCACACCTTAGCGAGAGAACAGTGGCTTGTCCCTGCATTTCTATTCGTAAGGCAGCAGGCTAGGCCGGTTTCTGAGCCTTCGGCTGTATCCAGGTTTGTACACCAGTGGAGTCATCGGCAGGGGTCCAACTTTAAAATTAATTACTGACTGCCTCGTCTCGGATATAGACGACCGACCCAGTGCTTGTATCGCCAGGCAGACGGCAATTCCGCAACGCGCTATGGTCAACTAGGGATCGACGGACCCTTTAGCCCGTAGGCTAAACCACAGTCCTCCGAGGATCCGTTATTTCCTACGCAGGCAAAATGCCTGCCGAATCGTTTCCCTGTGATATCCGTGACCCCGCGCGTATTAGTGAACCTGGAGTCCTGGACTGCTAAAGTTTATTGAAATTGCAGGTCACCTGTTGATGCAAGAGAGCCATGCTAGCGTCAGGGAATACCCTGCGCAGCCGAATTCCACCAGTGGAGATTGAGACCCCAGAATTTCGCCGAAATTTCCAGAGCCGTTCAAGTCTATTTTGCGATCAACAGGAGGCGGCCTCTTAGCACGGGCACGAGGGGGCCGGATAGGCGATGGTGAACATCAGCAATTCGGGATGATCCGAGCCACTGACGACTGTACCCAGAATTAAGGGATATCGCCCCGTTCATCCGACTGGGTTCTTCCAATCAACGACGCTGACGACGCCCACCAGTAGCTAGCGGATTCAAACACAAGTACTCCGTAAGCGTTGATCCGACAGAAGATTGGCGCCAAGGAATGCGTCATTTTTTTTTCTCTTCGTGCCCTGGAGGTTGAGTAGGGCATGTCCCTTCAATTAAATTTAGTGCCATAAGGAGTGTGAGACTGCCTTCAGAGCATTTGATCAATGGTACGAGGAGGGGCTGATTCGAAGGCTGATGTCCGAAGACTCAGAGTTTCAGACAGTCAGACCGGGAACTTAGCGCCAAACGACGCGTCAAATGTCTCATGGAAAGAGTGGCTCAACGGTTCGTCAGACGAACTGGGAGGAATGTATTTTGTCTGCGGTGTGGCCACGGACCGAGGAAGGGTGCACCCACACATTGTCGATATGGTTTATACCTGCGCCAGATCTGGCTGTAGAAAGAAATTGGATTCAGGATGGAAGCGAAACCGTAAGAGAAACTCAATTTCAGAGAATTATGAACGATGTATGGTCCAAAGAAAAGACATACCTCTGACTGATGGCCATCCTCGACCATTTGTATGGAACGTTCTTGACCAACTGTCGCTGGCAATTGACCGACAAGAGGATCCAGAGAGCTTGACGGAGGTCCGTCCGTGTCGAGAACGGAAAAGCGTGGGAGAAACATCGGAGGTTTAACAGTTTCGGGAAGATGCCGTGGTTAGGGCATGGTTAACGTTCCCCATCGAGTAAGGACGCCCGATAAGGCCGTTTCACAACAGTCTTTCACGGCCACAACCAAACTTCACGAAGTGAGAGCCAATAGGTAAGGACGACCAGCAGTAGACTTACCGGTGTGCCATGGATAGAGGTTGAACGAGGACAAATCGTGACTGTCAGTGGTTGAACATGGTCCCTGATGGGGCTTAACCAAATTGGGCAAGGACTCTCCTCCGTGTAGAATGGCCCAAAGAGGAAATCCCAGCACGTGGGGTGCGGAGGGTTACTCCGCATACCTTGTCGCATGTAGCATACACTCATGAGAATCTGCACCTGGCAACGATCCTTTCAACATGGGGAGCCGGCATCTAAAATCCGGGGAATTTCCACTTTCTGGGGTTCGATGAACACAAGTTTTCTCTGTCCTCTGCTGAAGTGTCCAAGCATCCATTGGCACTTCTAAAACCCCTTCAGATAACGCCATGGCCGCATTCTCTCAGTACCCTCTATCTACGGGATGGAGCTTCAAGGATAGCGATGAGCAATCGCCTGAAGCGTGGATGCCGGTACCTGTCGTTCCTTCCGTGGCTCACCAGGATCTGCAAGCCAATCAGAAGTATGCGTTTCTTTTCACATGCCCAATGCAATCCAGATGCTAACCGATTGCCGTTTCCTTTAGGCTGAAGAATCCATACATTGGTTTCAATGAACTAGATGCCCGATGGGTGAATGAAAAGTCATGGACCTATCGAACCGTCTTCCAGAAGCCCACCGTCGCCGCTGGCTCGTCGATTGTCTTGGCATTTGACGGTTTGGATACCTTTGCCACAGTAAAGCTTGATGGCAACGTCATCCTGGAGAGTGACAACATGTTCCTTGCTCACCGTGTAGATGTGACTAAGGCGCTTGAGACGGAGGGAGACCATGTGCTGGAAATCAATTTCGACTGTGCCATGCGCAGGGCGCGAGAGCTTCGGGAGAAAGATACCAAACATAACTGGGCTTCTTTCAACGGCGATCCAGCCAGAATGGCCGTCAGAAAAGCCCAATATCATTGGGGCTGGGACTGGGGTCCACTCTTGTCAACTGCAGGTATCTGGCGGGAGGTGCGGCTTGAGGTATACTCCGCCAGGATCTCAGATCTTTGGACGGAGGTGGAGCTCGCAGCGGACCACCAGACAGCCCAGATTTCGGCTTTCGCTGAACTAGACGCTGCAGAATCAGTTGAATCTTACAAGGCCAGCTTCGTGCTTAGTCTCCACGGCAAGGAGGTCGCTCGCGAGGTGGCTACTCTGAAGGACAGTGTTACGAAAGTGACATTTGACGTGAAGCAACCGTCTCTTTGGTGGCCCAACGGCTATGGTGACCCTACCCTGTATGAGATTACCGTGTCCTTGGAGAAAGAAGACCAGGAGGTTCACAGCGTGTCGAAGAAGATTGGCATTCGAACTGCAGAACTTATTCAGCAGCCTGACAAGCATGGGAAGTCGTTCTTCTTCCGAATCAATGGGGTTGATGTCTTCTGTGGCGGCTCATGCTGGATTCCGGCCGATAATCTCTTGCCCAGTATTACTGCCGAGCGGTATCGCAAATGGATTGAGCTGATGGTTGCTGGCCGCCAGGTGATGATCAGGTATGTTCGGACGATCCATGATAGTTAACAATTTGCTAACAGAGCATAGAGTGTGGGGCGGCGGTTGCTATGAGGATGATAGCTTCTATCAAGCATGCGACGAACTCGGAGTCTTGGTATGGCAAGACTTCATGTTTGGCTGTGGCAACTATCCAACATGGCCCGAGCTCCTGGAGTCGGTCGAGAAGGAGGCAAACTATAACGTGCGCCGACTGCGCCATCACCCGTCGATTGTGGTGTATGTTGGGAACAATGAAGACTACCAAGTGCAAGAAAGCGCTGGTCTTGTCTACGACTACGAAGATAAGAACCCCGAGAATTGGCTGAAGACCGATTTCCCAGCGCGCTACATATATGAGAAGCTCCTGCCCTCTGTTGTTGAAAAGCTGTCCCCTAAAACGGTTTACCATCCGGGGAGCCCTTGGGGTGATGGAAAGATCACGTCCGATCCTACAGTGGGCGATATGCATCAGTGGAATGGTAAGTCAAACGGTATCCTAGATTAAGTTCATGCTAACCTTCGTTAGTATGGCATGGAACTCAGGAGAAGTATCAAATCTTCGATACATTAGGAGGGCGTTTCAACAGTGAGTTTGGAATGGAGGCATTCCCCCATATGTCGACAATCGAGTATTTCGTGGAGAATGAAGCGGACAAATACCCCCAGTCACATGTTCTCGACTTCCACAACAAGGCCGATGGACACGAGCGAAGGATTGCTACATATCTTGTCGAGAACCTGAGGACAGCTACAGACTTAGAGGCATGTTCCCTGGCCTGACCATCAGGATCCATGTGGCTAACTAAATATAGACGTACATTTACCTCACACAGGTTGTCCAGGCCGAAACAATGATGTTCGGATACCGTGGATGGCGTCGTCAGTGGGGTGATGAAAGACATTGTGGCGGTGCCCTGCTTTGGCAACTAAATGACTGCTGGCCCACTATCTCCTGGGCCATCGTAGATTATTTCCTGCGGCCCAAACCGGCATTCTATGCTGTGGCACGTGTTCTGAAGCCCATTGCTGTGGGTGTGCGGAGGGAGCATCATGATTGGAGTGTGACCCACGCACAGCCGCCGAAGACGAGCAAGTACGAACTCTGGATTGCCAGTAGCTTGCAGAAGGAAACTGTTGGCACAATCGAGCTTAGATTCCTTTCGGTCAATACTGGGCTTGATGTCCGTGCACCCATCCTGCGTGATAACGTCAAAATAGTGCCGAACGGTACTACAAACATCCTGGAAGGTGTCATTGACCATAAGGAGCAACCAGAGCCTCACGTGCTCGCTGCTCGACTCTGGGTGGATGGTGAGATTACGGCTCGCGATGTGGATTGGCCCCAACCGTTCAAGTACCTGGACCTGTCGGATCGGGGCCTGGAGGTGAACAAGGTTTCAGAATCTGGTAACGAGCAGAAGCTGCTGATCACCGCGAAGAAACCTGTCAAGTGCCTCGTCTTTGAGGAAAGAGACGGCATCAAAGTCAGCGACAGTGCCATGGACATCGTCCCGGGAGATGGGCAAACGGTCACCATAATCGGGCTGAAGTCGGGTGGTGCTCCTCTAAAGTACAAGTATCTTGGCCAGTGATTGTCTGATATGACTATGATTGAGTGTACAGCTCTGTTACAGTATCCAATGACCCAATCATGACATTATGTTCAGTATATGCTATGGATTTAGAAAAAATTTGACGGTGTCATGGCCCAGAAATGATTGTATAGATACCTCGAGTTGATTCATTGAAGGCCTTGGATCTAAGAGGTTTATTACGCACCCACAAATGCGCAATAATTGCAAAGGGCTCCACCTAAAGTGGTGCTAATAATCTACTGAGTATTAGAAAAAAACACAACGCTCAGAAACTACTATATATCTCTTGCACTTTGGGGAATAAGCTCAGGTAAACTAGTACCCTCTACCCTTCTCAGCATAGTGAAATAAGATCGCACCATCAGCCAATCAAGTAATACCAAGCACAGAATATTCAAAAGCAGTCAGATCCCCTTGGCAGAGCAATAGTAATGTGGGGGGAAAGAAAAAAGGGGCGACCCTCCACCAATGCCCGAATGCTCGGTACTGATGGCCTCCAAGCAACCATATCTTATCAGATAATCACCCCAATCCGTCCTAGCCCCGAGTCCAATGATGACGCCCATCCATCAGTGAATTAATTTCATTGCCGCAAAATAATTCCCCCTCCATACCATTAGCACCATCCCCACCCAGTCAACACAAATAAATGGCCGGAACTAAACGCACCTGGGACGGCAAACAGCTCTCACTCCAACCCAACAACAACGAGCACCAGACGACGACAATGGCCGAACAATCAACGCAAATCCTCTCCATCTTCGAGACCTTCCGCAACGAGCTAGACGAGCACCACGATCGGCGCGAGCGACTAATCAAGATCTCAAGGGACATTACAGCGCTGAGCAAGAAGATGTATGTTCCCCCCTCCTGTTTCCCATCTATCATTAGGTCATGCACATGGCGAGCCTTATCGAGTAAAACAAAAACAAAGCTAACACAAATCTGCAGTATCTTCTCCCTCCAACGGTAACAACCCCCCCCCCCCCCCCCCCCCCCCCCACCCCCCCCCCCCCCCCCCCCCCCCCAACCAACACATACCCTACCGCAAAGACAAAATCTAACAGGATAAACTCCATCCCAGAATTCGGAAACTCAACGCCCCTCTCCCGGAAAACATCACCAAAGAAACCCAATCCCGCTTCACCCAAATCCAGTCCCTCTTCACCAACGCCCTCCCAGACGTCACCGGCCCAAACAAATGGCGGTACCAGCGCCAGCTCAGCGGCGCGATCCAGGAATACATCGAGGCGCTCTCCTTCCACCACTACCTGACTACGCAGACCCTCATCACGCTCCCTGAAGTGTGCACGAAACTCCCCGCGGAGATACTCGTCACGGAGGAGGATTATCTGTTGGGGTTGTTCGATTTAACTGGGGAGATGATGCGGTTTGCGGTTACGGCGCTGTCGGCTGGGTCGGTTGCTTCTGACGAGAAAAAGATGGGGCTGAGTAGAGAGCAGAATGGGATTGTGGTGGATTTGAGGGAGATGAGGTCACTATTTGAGGGGTTGAGTGTGTCCAGACGGCATAATTTGATTAAGGATCTCGGGAAGAAGATGGATGTTATGCAGGGGAGTGTGGAGAAGGTGGAGAGGGCTGCTTATGGGATATTGGTGAGGGGGAGTGAGAGACCGGCTGGGTGGATGCCGGATCTCTCTGGGGGTGGTGATGAGGGGTATTAGTTCATGCCTGTTGTTCGGGGTTGTGGAGTGTGCGTGTTATGTATGTATGTATGTCTTACTCATGTACTTTAAGAAGAGTGGGATTGTTCTGAACTAGGTAAGCTAGACTTAGCTAAACTATGAACTATCCCAGCAGCTCAGATCAACAAGGCCATATTAAGCTCACATCTCACTGTGCAGTATGTCATCTACCATATCTTCGTTTTGTTTCTGGGAAGAGAAAACAATTAAACATAACCAGTAAATCCATCCATGTACTCCGTCCATCAAACCATGTCCTGTAACTCAAACGGAACCATATCCATCGTGACCCATGAACAGCTGTCAAAGACAGAATCAATCAGAAAGTCGGCTCCCTTGGATCCTCATCTTCCGTCAAGATCCCCTGAGCCATGAGATCCTCCGGCTGCGGCCGGTTCTGAATCTTTTGGTCGAGATGATCAGCCAACATGTGTTTTTCCAGCTCGCGGGCGTGGGCCTGAAGCGCTGGGGCTGCGTTGATATGCGGGAGGATATTGCCTTTGGCATATCATAGCTACGTTAGTAATCGAGTCTATAACAATATGACAAAAGCTAGCTGCGAGAGAAGAAACGTAGACGAATAGGTGGGATAATGTCAAGATACGCACGCTCAACCAGTTCCTCGCGATCCGGTCTGTGCTCCAAATGTTTCTTCAGACTATCAGTTGTGCGCTGACGGTCTAGCTCCTGTCTCGCTGCTTGGATAGATCTGTAGGTGATTTGTTAGTGGTACGATGTGAGGAGTATAGGTAGTACAATAAATAGAGTCATGGAAGCGTACGGAGCAACATTGGTGTCAAGGAGGATGTGTCTCTCCTTGAGGTCGTGGGGATCAGGACGGTTCAGGAGATGTTTCTCCAGGGAATTGCGTCGCTCCATGGGCGATGCGGCGAGGGAGGTTTCATCAACGGAGTCAACCATTGTTATTGCTTGCTCGTGGCTACGATGATTCGTATAGATGTATGGAAGGACTAGCACTGGTATCGTATTGGCAAGGTTTGAGTTCTTGGGGAGGCGATTGGATGGGAGAGTCAAGCCCGGGAAGATACTTACGTATCGGGGGTTTAATTTATTGCTGGGCGACGTAGGTACAGGAACTGTGAAGATGGAGGGTGAAGGAGGGGCAGTCAAGTGACGTTGACATCAATGCGGAGGTGTTGATCCACGGGACCTTAACTGCGGCTATTAATTTGGGCTCATGACCTCATGGCATGGCTCATTAGAGTTTCCTTGTGCACAGTTAGGGTTATCATATCTCATCTCATCTCTCCATGACCACGAGCTAAACACAAGTTTCATTTCTGTCATCTGTTTCTTTTTCTCGTTTTCTTAATAAACAATACCAGAAGCACTACTGAAGCATGCATCGTGCCCATCCCCCTCATACTTCCATAGAGCAATAGCAACAGGTTCAACAAAAATAAGCAAGACAACTCTCATATGTGGGGGTGGTAACTGCTGAGTAATATGTTGAATAGCTAGCTCGTTTACGCATGTCGGGTTGAACAGGTGCCTGGTCCAGGAGCACCCGACATGTGGAAGGACATAAAACAAAAAAGCCCGTTCCTCCATCGTAACGGAAAGCAAGTGTATGAGCAAGAAGACCCGTCTGACCCCAGAACCTGACCTAGAGCCTGATCATCGGTCTCGCACGAGAATGGTTGTATGGATCGAATCAGTGCCGTATCCGACTCGCACTCATCCTTCATATCCGTGCAATCCATATAGGACCCATTCGCCTCATCCATCAAGTCACAGTCTGAACTGACATCGACCAGTAGGCAGTCCGGGAACGGAAGATGATTCCTGCTTCGAATAACAACCACAGTGGTCTCTGTTGGAAATTGCAAACAAATGCCCCGTCGGCATCACAGTCAACGGGGCTCTGCCGTCCGCTCAAGGAACCCAGAGTTTCCCACGGCCTCGGCTGTTGCCACGAGTTGGTCCGCGAGGCGCCCCTCGACGACCGCTGCTGTAGTTCCGAGACGCTCCTGCCATGCCACGCGCAGCCCCAGATTGTGTACTGAGATCAATCGTGGGCTGCTGCTTCGTTGTGGTGGGCAAGGACCGACTGAAAGAGTTGGGGTCGATGGGCTGAGTAGGGATCTCCATCGTACTCTCCACAGGCGGCGCCACGGTCTTAGCGGCGGCGGGTTTCCGATTGCCTCCACCACGCGAACCTCCTCGCGAGGTTGGTTTCCCGCGACCCCGAGGAACAAAGACTAGTTCATCTTCGTCGCTCTCGTCGTCGTAGGAAAGCAGTGACTTCGGTTCGGCCGTGTGGGTTTGGGTTTTCTCCACATATTTGCAGCGATTCTTGTATTCCCGTTCTTCATACTGAATGGAGGTCCGCAGCTGGTGGATGTTCTTAACGCCAATGCCAAACTTCTGGGCCCAAATCTGTGTGGAGCGGTCGTTCGTAATAAGGATACAACTTTTAGCCGCATTGGACGCATCCGGGCCGCTGTGCAGGCGCCACAGCAACGCACTGAGGAGCGGTCGGAGCACCAAGGGAACCGTGGGGATGGTGGAGCCAGAAGCAGATCGCTTATGTCCGTTCGTCTGCTTTACTTTAAGGTTGTTCGTTCCGTTTCCATTCTCAACCACATGAGAGTTGGCACATTCGGGACTTGTACGGGAACTTCTTGAAGAAGGTGGCGATGCAGGGGCACTGCGAGTCCCTGCCGAGTTAACCGACGCGGCGTCCGAGTCCTTCTTGAAGTTCAGCTTATTGAGAAGCATTTGCGACAGATCATCCGAGGCTCCGTTTCTCTTGTTGTCTTTTCCTTTAGATCCCTTCTTCTCCAACGGCGTCTCCCGGGCATCGTTTCCATTTGTCGCCTCCGGCTCTTCTTCGAATTCCGGCAGAAAGAACTTTTCCGCATCACTCCAGTTCTCGTACTGCTCCATCGGGCCCTGAAGAGCAACGCGATCGGCCGGAGTACTGTCCTTTCCGGAAGTAACGCGGTCAAGAAAGCGAACAGCCTCGCGGGCGTTGATAGCGACTTGAGACCCGGCTCGTTTCAATGCATGAAGGCGTTCAAGGGCTGAGTGAAGGGATAGTGAGAAAATGTAAGATGTACAGAATGCATGAAAAGAAAAAGGATAGACGTAGACAGAAATTATAAAGGGAGATACGTACTGTAGAGAGGAACGACCAGGGTGATCGCCCCGTTGGTTGTCCATTTTTTGATTTCGCTGATGTTGGTCGTCAGCGCCGTCTCATCCACGGCACAGTGGAAGACCTTGCGTCCGGTCGACATCGCTTCAGCGGTCGACAAGAAGCAGATCGCGTAGGTAAATCGTAGGGATGGTTAAGGCGGCGCAGCTGCCCTACACCGAATGGCTGAATTTAACGAGTGCGACTGAGCCGCCGCGGCGTTAGCGGATGGGTCCTCAGAAGGAGGTTTGGTCTGATGGCGGAGGGATATGAGAATGTGGGGGCAATGGCATTAAGATTAGGTCAATCAAGAGGTACCGAGGACAACCTCAGGCCACTAAGACGCCAGAACAAACAGACCACAAGGTACTTACCGTGGGATCCTGGTTCACAAAGAAGGAACATATGCAGCATTTTGGGGTCTGACCGAGTCATTCGCGGAAATAATAGGGCCCAGGTAAAGGCTGATTGAAGGGTCATTGAACAGCAGCGGATCAACTGTGATGCCGTGGGAGTGACTCGCCCAACTGACTAAGCGGAACAGTCATCATCTACAAGATTCATCACGTTTCTATATCGATTCGACAGGGAAATTCCATGGCGACAATTAATAGAAAAGCCCATGAGATGAGAGATTCTGTTCATTTCAATAACTATACTGCGGTAGCGAAGCTCGATAGGATGTCTACTCGGGTTACACTCTATAGGATAATTGACATGCTGTCACCGTAACACAAAAGTCCTCCATAGAAGCAAGAACGAACGCTATGTCATACAAGGATCAAGGGCCATCTTGATGTGATTTCGCGGTCAAGGCAATGGTAGAAGATGCCTAATGCCCACCAGCCTAGTTCACTTTTTTGATCAGTCCGTCGGCGGGCTTGACGCGCTGTGCCCATTCACTAAACAAAATACATAGTAAGCGACTGTACTTGACGAGGATAGGGTACTTAGCGAATGGTAAGTAGTACTTACGTCCAGCTTCCATCGTACACTCTCCGAAGGTTGGGATCTCCGTACTCTGCTTCGCCCAAGGCGGTTTCAATAATCGTAGCCGTCACACCAGTGCCGCAAGAGCTGATGATCGATTTGGAGTCGTCAATTTCTTTCTCTTCAAAGATTTTGCGCAGATCAGACTTCGATCGAAAAGTCTTCGTCTCCGGATCCAGTAATTCTTGGAAAGGCAAGCTCTTGGAGCCAGGAATATGGCCTGAGGACAATCCCGGGCGTGGTTCGGGATCCGTTCCCGCCCAGCGGCCGTAAGATCGCGCATCTAAGATCTCGACTTCTTTGGCACCTTCTTTCCTATGCTCTTTGGCAATCTCCTTCAACTCCAAGTACGGAATCACCAGTTTCGAATCGTAATTAGGTACCGGATAGCTGGTCCGTTCCACTTGCTGGGGCTCCCCAGTCTCCGTCGGGTACCCTTCGCGCACCCACAATCGGTAGTTGTCCAGGAGATGAACCCGAGGGTGTCCAAATACTCGTAGGGTCCAGCCGACACGGGGGGCGCTGAAGATTCCAAGCTCTTCGGTGTCGTAAACCACCACTTCGTCGTCGCGCCGGATGCCAAGCTCGCTCATCGCATCGGCAAATGTCTCCGCGGTAGGAAGCATGTGCGGGTACGGAGATTCTGCATCTTTGACTGCATCCAAGTCAAAGAATCGAGCCTGAGGGATGCGATGTTTCCGGAAAATGTCGATCCCTTTGCGACCTTCCGGATCATTGGGCATAAACCATGCAGCACACAGGGGCACGACACGCGGTGAAGTCGAGATTTTGGTGGGAGGGTTCTTCTTGAGAGCCTCACTGAGCTCCTTGGGAGAGACCAGGTATGAGGAGAAGGAAACCTGGCGGCATTGGGATTGGAGTCGCGCTTGCGAAGGGGCCGACATGGTTGGACGAAGCAGGCGAGTGGGGGAGGGAATCGAATGGCGAAGAGCTGCAAAAGCCATGTTCGCAGCGCGGATTTACTGGGGGGAAATATAGAGGGAATTGAAAGAGGATAATCAATCTTTACATACCGAATCGGCAATAACGACAGATGGTGTGATCTGATCGCGGGCGATAAGAATTTAAATAGGGATGTGTTAATTTATGCAAGTGCACAGTGAGGGGAAAGTCCGGAGTCTTCACTTTCTTATTTTATTTTATTTTATTATTATTTTAGGTATTTATCAGGTATGCTAAGTCACTACTAAGTTAATAGTCACGAATCATTTGGACCTAAAATGCGGAGTCGCCTGTAAACAAATCATTTTCTCCGCCATGTGAAAACCAAAGTGTAAAAAGGTAACAAACCAGAAAAGATCCGTTATCATGCTTTAGCTCCACTTACTACTTTCACCGACCACTTTTCTCTCCCTTCTTTCTCGGAACAAGTTGGTCCACGCCCTCAAAACCAAACCACATCGCGATCGACCATGAAAGTCACTATTAAAGAGTGGAACGGGGTTGCCACTTGGCGTTGGGATATGCCCGCGGATGATGTTTGTGGTATTTGTCGCGTCCAGTTCGATGGGACTTGCCCGACTTGCAAATTTCCCGGTGATGATTGTTCACTACGTAAGTCTCTTAGTTTTATCTGCTAATATATATAAAATGTGGGCTTTCTGATTAACCTCGATGTAATTACAGTGCTGGGCAAGTGTGGACATTCCTTTCATATGGTGCGATAGTGGACCTTGATATTATCATGGATACAGAAACTGATGATTCATCTCTCCAGCATTGTCTCATGACTTGGATCCAACAAGAATCTTCGAAGGGTCTTTGTCCGATGTGTCGTCAAAGTATGCCATCCCCAAATATGGATTCTTGGAGGAAAACTGCTACTAACTATAACCACAGAGTTCGAATGGAAACAAGAAGATGATGAATAAGCCCAAATACCATGCGTCCCGGCAGCCGCGATGGGAGAGGCGTTCAAGCTCGACAGATACGATACCCTTCTTTTAGCATTAAGTCGCAATTGTTTCTTTTTTTTTTTTTTTCTGTACAATACAGACCGTTATCAACATCGCTAGCTTCGGTACAGTCACATGACCCCTTGTTTATCGATAAGGGGGCAGGTGATCAAGCTTCACCTGAGCTTAAAGTGGAAGCCGAGAGCTTACAAGTTCCCATTGCAATCCGCCCAACAAGGCCTTAATGTCCCTACCCGTCGCCTTCTAATCATGTAGCGCGGTCTATCAGAAATGTCTCTTCCAAAACATACCACATCATCCTCCTTATCGTCTTCGCCCTCCAAACAATCCATCCGGCGGACCACGGAGTCAAACGTCCCTTCACGCCCGGAAAGCACCATTGATCGACCCACCACGGCTCAACAGACTCACGCCTTCTCCCAAGAACAACAAGCTTATGAGCCAATAACAAACGTAACATCGCCACACTCGGAAAATGACGGCCCGCATGAGATATCTGCTTCACATCCGCCCCTTCAACCGTTCTTCACCCTGATTGAAGACGCCAGTACCTCCGAATACTACCACCCAACTGTTCACTATATCTTCTCCGATGATGACACAGATATCGTGACCGAGGCAGCCTTGCGCTCCTTGGAACCTGAACAAAATACGCATCCTCGCGGCGACAAGGGAAACTCCAGGACTACACGTGACCAACACCCGCAGGGTGAAGGAGGAGTGGATGATGAGCTGTCGAATGAGAGAAAGGAATCATTACTTCCGCCTCCGATACCTGGTGTTCGGGATAACTACATCATTCTCGATATGGACGTGCTTGGTCCAGATGATATGCAACACATGAATAGCGCCCCCGGGCACGACGTAAGTGTCGGCTCTCCTGGGACCCAATCCTCCGTCCCTCAACAACAGCAGGATTCCCAGAACAACAACCAACATGGTCAAAAATTTGCGGTGACTTCAGCCTACAGCTTGACACCAACATGGCAAGTTCTAAACACCCAGCTAGTGCCCGCCCCGACCTTTGAGAACAACCCTTCCGGCGAGCACTCACCGAACGGTGCCCTGATGTTGAAAATTCAAGGGACAGTCGGCTTACCTATGACTCTACCTGGTAAGGATAAAGAGAAAGACAATAGCACCCAGCGATTGGAGGATATGATGGAGCAATTTTCAAAACGTTTGGGCGAGCTCCGACAAGTCATTAAAGCTGGAGAACAAGCGCACTTGCTGGGAAATGCAGATGAGGAACACATACCAACCGGGCTGCCAAACACGGAGGATACTGCTGTGACAAGCCCCGAGGGTCAGAATGAAGCCTTAACGCAGAACGGGGATGATATGGTCGGCAAAAGCCCATAACCTGAGTCGATATACTCATTGGCGCAAACTGAACCTTAGCCCTTGGCGAGCCGTGCTTCTCATCTAAAGTGTACAACCTAGCCTGCTACACTCCAGGATTTGATCAGTGGGCGAATTGAAAGCAAATTACTTCCAGGTCATCAAGATGGTATTTGTAACAAGCTATGTCGTCCAGCCTCCTAGCGTCATTATAATCCCTGCCCTTGTGTCTATAGTAGCACAACGAACAAAGTAGCACCAAAGTAGCTTAATACCCAAAGCCATAATTCAACTATGAAACGCAAACATGAAAATGGTGAGCGGTCGACCCCGTAACAACGCCCGCAGTATTAACAATCTCCGGATGGTGAAACGAAGCCAGCTCCCGTCGCATATCCGGAGTACCTATATCCAGCTGGTCCAGGATCTCGACCACAGCCGAATAAAGGATTTCTCTGTTTCCATCCTCGATCTTAACTGCAAGTCCCACTGCACCGTCTGCTCCAAGTCTTCTGGTATACTCCGAGGCTTGTATGCCGATCCCATAACACCCATCGGCCCCAACCTTTCCAATGAGTGTTCCCCGAAACACCCGCATAAGCACCGTACAAAACCTCCCCTCTCCACCAACAAGCTCAGGGTACCGCGTCATGGCGTTGAAGATTCGCGCCATATCTCTTTCTTTCCCAGAAGCGCTCCCAGCATCCTCAACGGCACCCGCCGCCTCCGCAAATACCGCATAGAACTTCGCCATATTCTGTAACGGAAACGCTGGCGCCGGCAAGTTACACCCATCAATACCCCATAACACACCGTCAGGTGCAGTCTCAAGCCCCGCCAACTCTTCCACTACCTCTCTGACCCTCCGCTGCAGCGGGTTACAGGGCAGATGATAATCTCGAATCTCCGCCCCCAACGCCCTCGCGCCGCCGAGCATACCCGCATGCTTCCCGGAACAGTTATTCGTGATAGCCGTTGGCGTATAATCCCTTCTAATCCACTCCCGATTCACCGTCTCGGATAATGCGGCATGGCCGCCGCAGCGGAGATCCTTTTCCTCTGCGGAAACCTTCAGGAGCATGTCCCGAGCCCGGGAAAGATGTCTGTCCTCGCTATTGTGCGAAGCGCACATGAGAGCAAGGTCGGCCTCATCGAAGTTGAACTTTTCCAGTGCCCCCGTGGAGACGACGGCGAGGGCTTGGGCTGGTTTGGCGGCAGAGCGGAGTAGCGTTATTCGGGACGGATCGCCGACGCTGTAGAGGAGTTTCCCATCGGCAGAGACTATTGCGGCGTGGACTTGATGGCGGTTTTCGGTTATACCGCTTCGGTCGGTTGTTATGTAGTCTTTTAACTTGCCCATTGTGGTCTGTTTTTGGCTGTATTGAGTGCGGGACAACTCAGAGAGAGAAACGATAAGATGATTGGGAAGACGAAAGATTGTGCGTTATTTGTCTGCGAGAGAGATAAACAAGGCGCCTTAGATCTAGAAGACTAGAACATGATCTACCAACGGGACTAGTATTACCAAATATGGTAAGACCTGAGACCCCACCATTAGCTTGTTTTCATTACATGAGATTCGCTATGGGTCCCTCTGGCCCAACTCACGGTGTGTTGGCAGTGATGTGTAAGCTTGCGCTGGGCTAACTAGTTAGTTACTTGGTTCGACTAAGCACTAGCTAGTCTCTCAACAAAGAGAAAGCTTGCTGTTGTCGGCTAACAAACACTATCTAGTTATGTGGCAGTACTGTACCGGTTCTTAAAGAGGCATAAGCACTAGATGAGACTACAAGGCTGCTATTGTGAACAATGTCTCTGGAGCGTCAGCCCATTCCTTCAATTCAATTCCGATTTTGAAGCAGTTTCCCACTCTCTCAATCCGCCAACTATGGGTATATAGACGAACGACAATCTAGAGGCAGACTATGCTGGGAAGAACATGGCCGACGATAGCCGGGCGCAGATCCCCACTCTCTAAACTCTCCTTGGATCGCAGGTACGTCCATTTCTTTGATGCCCTCCGTCATTCAGGATATATCAAACCGACCTCGCTCGAGACCAAACTGGGCAATCGTGTGGTCAACTGGTATCAACGGTAAGGTTCATAGCCACGTCCAAGGCCGGGATCGATGCCTGGTCCAAATTGGGTGAACTTGACTGGGCGTGGGAGACTCTATCGCCGTACTATCAGAATCGATACACTCTACGGTTCCCCGACGAAGCCACTAGGGAGCATATCGGTGTGAGCTGGATGGACCAGAATGTCCACGGGAACCCAGGCCCGATTCATGTCGCCTTTCCTGCTGTACTCCAAGATCGATCGTCTAATGTTTGGGTCAGTACCTTAAAGAGATTGGATATGGTCTTACTGGTGATCAATTCACTGGCATCTCTCTCGGCGGGTTCTCAAACCTGGCGGCAGTCGACTATAAGACAAGACACAGGCGATTCTCTCCTGCGCCAAGGGCAGGAAGCGGTGCAAAATGCCATGCAGCTCGATGCAATTTCGACGGTTATAGCAAAACCTGAAAAGCTAGGATATACAATGTGCCGCAAAATACGGCTTCCAATCTAGATAGTTCGAAGAAACGGGAAACTGAACAGAGGTCCTGTAGTTCCGAAACAAGTTCCTTCTCAATAAGCACCACATATAAGCGTTACAATGCGTTATCCTTACAAGAATGTACAAGCTCAATCAAAAGCATTGGAATATTGATTAACATGAATATCAGGAACTGTCTTTCCGATATTAACCCAAAACAAGCCAGATAGGTATCATGTGAGTCCCGCCGAGAAAACGCCAAATTGCAAAAGAAGACCTTAAGACTGCCCCAGAGAACAACCCAAAACTTGTGTGCAAACAAGGGCAATGGCCAGTTAAAATAAAAGATTCCCGTACGCCGAGTAAGCTCGTGCAGAGCACCCTTCCCTACACACCTAGCTATCAAGGTGTTTTACCATAACGCCCATGTATCCCAAACGACGAAAGGGTATAAAAGTTGAGAACAGCAACTATAGAAGAAATCATTTGGCTGAATATCTCAAGGAGCAGGTCGAGTTCTAGTTCGTCGAGCACTTGAAAGCCCAGGTGGAGGGACGTTCTCCCGGCCTTCCATCATTCCAGCCATCTTCTTGGTCAACATGTTTTTCGGCAGTTTGCTGTCAGTAGTTGTCAGATTGGAGCAGCGCCTCTTGGTTGGAGGCTCATCTGAGTCTTCACTTTCTAGGACAATGTCGACATCCGAAGATTTGCCGGCTACGGAAATATTCGATTGCCGCACCGAGGCCCTGTCGCCAGGGCTAGACGCGAGCTGTTTTGCGGCGACGTTTGCATCGACTTCCCTAAGACCTGTGTTGGAAGTGATCCTGGCTGTAGGTGTCTGGTTCCCTACCTCGTCTTCGGTATCGTTGTAAACAAAGCCCTTAGTAGGGGAGGTTCCTGGAAGGTGGTCTTCGCCATTGAACGGGAGTAGCGTGAGATCCCTTGATGTCCGAATTCCGGATATCAGAGCATCGTGCGCCTCAGTCCGAGGAAGATCAGTGGGATACTCGTAATGCCGTTTCTGTGGGGTGGCGCCAGTGACTATATACTCTTGTAGGGGACGACTGTGAACATTGTTGCGCAGCTCTGTGAGAGGCTTGCGGACCTCTTCTGACAAAGGAGAGGTCGCCTCGTGCAGAATCTGCTGCTGCTGAGCGGAGTCGTCTTGCAGTTGGCTCATCCGAGTACCAACACCTTCCATTTGTTCATGAACGAAGGAATAGGATTCACGGACGCTAGACCCCATGTTGTCCAAGCTGGAGATATGGGCATCGCGATATTGGCCATTCTGGAACCGTGCTTTAGCGACGAAGTCGTCCAAAGCTTCCATTTGTTTGTCCATGTTATTCATCTGAGCATCGACAATACGAACTGTTTCCTCGTGCACGGACTCGGTTGTCTTTTGGATAGAGGCGTTGCGTTGGTCAAATATTTCCCAATCGTTCTGCATCTTAGTCCGAAGTTCATCCCTTGAAGCCGCAACATCCTTGGCAAATTGCTCCGACTTGAAAACCCATTCATCTGTCTGACGATCATGTTGGGTTGTTGCTTGCTCCAGTGCATCGCCCGAAGACGAGATATCTGCTCGTACACCTTCCAATCTTCCTTTTAAGCGACTAACTTGTCTCTGCCGGGATTCCTCCATCAGAGCCTTGAACTGTGAAAGCAAAAGATCTCGCTCCGATTCAGCGGTGGCGTGCTCTTCTTCAACAGCATGTGCCAGGTTAGAAGAAGCTCGACGGTTCGCTTCGACGGTCTGGATGTTAGCTTCTTGGACTTCCAGTCGCAACCTATTAATTTCCGTTTTCTGTTCATTGAGATGTCGCACCATCTCCTCGAACAAGGACTTGAAGTCCTTACCAAGAGTGCTGTAGGAGGAATGAAGCTGCTCATGAAGCTCTGTAAATTCGCCAATAACTTCCTTGGATATCCGGGCAGCGGCAGCAGACAGACCGTTCAACCCCTCTCCAACTTTGCGCTTGACCTCTTCACGCAAGTCTTTGATCTCCTCAAGGACCTCATTCATCTGATCGTGAGCGCCACACGTTTGTGTCTTCGCGTCGCGCTCAGCCTTATCAAATATAGCACTAAAGCTTGACAGCGCTGACTGATTCGATTGGACGTGACTCAGTTCGCTAGAGACATGATCGTTGATCTTTGCAGCCATAGATTCCAGGAGCTGCGAATGTTGCAGTTGGAAAGCCTCCATTTTTCTATCGACTTCCTCGGTGACAGCTGACACTTCTTTGGCTGACGTTTGCCATGCTTTCATGTTAGATGAGTCTAAATCCGCCTTTCGGTCAAGTTTTGCATGCAACCCATCCACATCTCCAACGGTTCTATCTAATGTCGACAAAAGCCCCGTACCAATGTCGTAAAGCTGATTTTCGGTGTCTTGATGCGCCTTCCTTAACATTTCCTCTTCTTCTAGCAGTGACCTGGTATTCTTGAGAACAATCTCCGTTTTTTCAAGGACATCATTTGTATCACACAGAGCCAACCGTGTGTCCTCGTTATCCTTCTTCAGGTTATTGAAATTGCTCGTAAGCGTGAACAGCTCCTGGACCTTGTTTCGCAGGTTGGACTCCATTGATTCAATCTTTGCTCGTTGCTCTTCATTAACGATTCTCCGGGATTCATTCTCCATGGTCATTTGCTCGTACGCGTCAACTGTCATATATACGCCGTTTCGGTGTCTTGTGGCAATAAGTTCTCCTTTAAGTTTCTCGATTTCAAAAGCGAACTCTTGAAGAAGTTTATGTTTCGAAGTGAAGTTAATCTGAGGCTTGTTGCGAATGTTCTTGGCTCGAAAGGCATAGTCTAGCGTTGAGATGGTTTCTTCCATGTTGCTCCGAGACGGCGAAACCGTCGCGATAATACATGTTTTCGTGCGCCCACCGAGGGAGTCTTGCAAAAGACGTGTAAGTTTTGATTCTCTGCTACAAGTTAGTAGATGTTGAACATATGTACTCTATATTCATACCTGTATGGGATATGGGGGCTCTTATCGACCAAAGCGTTGATTACTCGGCCCAAAGTCAACAGACTTTTATTGATCAGGCCCGCTTCTGTGGCACGCTTGTTCTCAGCTCCACTGCGCTGGATATTTTCGCTACCAGCCAGGTCAACCAAATTCAGCTTTCCAGAGCTAACATAATCTTCGCCTGCATCGGTTGTCCGCTTCGTATGTACTGTGATAGTGAAGATTGTATGACTGCGAGAGCTAAGGTCGTTGCACTTGGTCGCAGCAACTTGCCGCTTATGGCTACCATGTTGAAGCAGCTTGATGCCGGAAGTGGCGGAGTCAATATACGTTTCTTCAATGCCTTGGACAAGCGTGCTTTGTCCTTTCTTTGACTCGTTCTCGAAAATCTTCAGCTTCTGAGTCTCTTCTGCTGATAGAAGATCTCGAAGTTCTTCGTTGTATAGCTCAATGAAAGAGCATTTCACGGTGCTTTCCGTCTCCTCGAGCTTGTGGAACAGCGAATACAGAACACGTGGAATAATGCCGGCATTGTCGGAAAGGATACCCAGAGTATCGGTCATATCGCCTGACATTGTGTATGTTTTGCCGGTTCCTGTTTGTCCGTACGCAAATATAGTGCAGTTGTATCCAGCGAGCATCTCATTGACAATCGGCAGGACAACATCCTCGTATACTGCGAGCTGGTCGGCGGCGGCGGAAAAGACCTTGTCGAACGTATATGTCTTATTTGAAACGGCATTTGGCCCCATGGATAGTTCCACAGTGTTCCCTCTAACACCTTCAGTTTTGACGACGACACCGCTATTCTCTTTAATCTCCCGATCATTGCGCCCGCGGCAGCGCACCACAACGTGAATGCTGGTGTCTTCGTTTATCCCACGTTCGAGGTCTCTTTCCTTCCTCTTCGCTGTTACGCTAGCAGGTTCAGTGGGTGATTTAATTGCGCGCGATCCACCCGAGGCAGGCGTTTTGGACGAAATTACTGGAGAGCCGGCCCTCTGGGTTGCTGAAGATCCCAATCGCCTGGTTGGTTGGCGTGTGTTTGTTGTCCTCCTTGTAGGGAGACCAGAGGCAGGCCTTTGGGGGCCAGCCATGATGAACAAGTCTCACTGGCAAACTCGCTGCCACAATAACTTAAAAAGGATGAATATACAATTGAATGTATGTGACTGAATATGATGTCGCGCCACTTTGATATGTCCAGGAGAAGTCAGTGACTTCCCGGGAAGGCCCAGAAAGGAAAATGTAAACAAACTAACAACATTCATGCACGTGCCCGTAAGTGGTCTGTGCTCAGGAGTCAGGCCGCCATTTCACATGATCTATGCGTTCATCGTCATCCTCCATATTGATATCTATTCTCTACCACTTAAGCATTTGTTAAGCCATACTTAGTGTATATTCACTTCTAGTGTTGCTATACTTCTTTGGTTGCAGAAATCTATATCCCAAGATACCCACGATCAGCGACGATCAGCCAGTAGTCTATATCCGCCACCTCATGATGAGAACGGATTCCAAGCCACTATGAGTTCCTCGGCCAAATCGTCGACGCAAGCCCAGATCCTTCCGGGGAAAGGGTTGGGATCTATAAGCATGTAGCCATACTCTCTAGCGGCTCTTGAAAGTGACTAACCTTTGTCTACCAGCACTTGGCGCTTCGCTCCATAATGTACTCAGTCGTGTCAAGGCCCATCCCCAGTCCTACCCCGCAATAGACATCGCCTACTCCTCTACAGACCCCATTCGAGAGCCAGTAACCCTGCAACTACCCTCGAACGGTCTCCGACTGCGCTTCGACGGTCCCGACCAAAGATTACGTCTGATCGAAGTACTCGACTTCACCAAGATCCCCCTAGTGTATAAAAACCAGGAAGTTTTGAAAGGAGGTAAACCGCAGGAACGGGCTGTCTCGCACCAGGGCCCTAGTTTCGGACATATTTACCATCGCCTATTTGGCCTTTCCTATCCGGGCGAATACAGACCTCCGACTAATCAGTCACCATATGGCACATATGTGTTGTCGTACCCCGGGGTGGCCTTCTCGTTTCCCCTCCAACACTCGGCTTGGTCAGACCAGTGTGATTTTGTAGCGTTGCTTTCTTCCTCGGCAGCCTTGCCGGCCACTTCTATGGCGATCTTTCAGGGTGACTCCTGGCCCGAAGCTCAGGGGAGGTTGTTCACTCAAGAGCAAAAGTATCCTCGAAATCCAGCCCTGGCGGGCAAGAACAGAGAATCTGTGCCGGATGAGATTGAAGAGTTCAATATCCTAGGTGCAGGTAAAATTGAGATCGTTCGGAGATCGTCCCCTACCAGCTACATCACGCTGTCGGAAACCACCCCACAGGATCTTGTGGCAGAGTTTGGCCCGCCCGATGCCATTTATCGTAAACATGATAGGAGGATAACAATCCACCGCGCTGCTGGCGGGGGTGGTGAAGATCATATTCACATGAGTCCGCCTCCAGGTAGAGGAATTGACGTGACTGATACCGATCAGTCGTCGAATAACAGTGGTACCGAAGATTCAGACGAAGAACTGTATCAACCCCATAATTTGGACCCGTCATCGCTACCAACAGAATGTTTCCTGAATTATTTCCATCATGGGTTCGATGCGTTCGTATCTTACCCTACTACCCCTGGGCCTGCGTTTCCAGGATCCGAGCTTCAGGACCCATCGCCTCCGTCTCCTTCCACTCAGCTGGTAGTGACTAAGATTATTCTGCATGGAAATGTGCCAGGATCATATCCGTTCAATCGCCATCGGCGCAGTCGTTGGAAGATAAAGCTGGACTCATCTGGGAATGCAGTCACTTCAGAAACCCGCTACGATGAGATCTCTGAGCGGCTTAGGGAGGTCTGGAAGGGCTCTTACGCGAACCCTGCTGAAGAGCGAGCCTTACAGAGGCCCATGGTACTGAATCGAGGATGGGGTGATAGTCCCGAGAGTAGCGTAGAATTCCTTGGTGGGTGGGAAGAGAGTACAGGTAAAGGTCAGAGGCCTGGACAGGAGAGTCACGATGGAGGTTTAGGGAACACCGAGCTCTTTGGCTTTCCTGGTCTGCTGTTTGAGGTTATGAAGAATAGTGCAGTTAGTTGCTTGACCGTATATTAGTTGCCACATCGGTCAGCATACGGAGTTTGGGAAACTGTATTTATATTAGCTAGTTCGGGGATATTGAGTCAATGCATTTCAAAATCATCAAAGACGCTTCATGAGAATGATTTCTCCGATCCAGTGTCTTTGTTATTCGTTTTTCTTGCTATATCCAGGGATATTATTGGACAAGTGTTGTAAAATTGGTAACATAAATTACATACTTTACCCCGGGCCGGGGTGAGTTCCGTCTCTAAATCTCCACCGTTTCCTCTCGCACACATAGCTGACCAACTCAGAGGCTGACATGCTTCAGCGGTAGTATGCCGGAATTGTCGCGGTCGCTTACTCGATCGTGGTCGTCGACGCTCAAACTCCCTAAGTCGACGTTCCCTGCACGCGTGACCCCGGCCGATCAAGCAAAATACCTACGACGATGCACTGACGAGCTCTACGCCTGGCAACGCCGTGAAAGACCGGCCGATAAGCCTTTTGTCTTACACGATGGCCCGCCATATGCTAACGGCGAGCTTCATGTCGGGCATGCGCTGAACAAAATCTTGAAGGATCTCATATGCCGAGTACAGTTAGGACTGGGAAAACGAGTGCGATATGTCCCAGGGTGGGATTGCCATGGGTTACCGATTGAGCTGAAGGCACTTGAGGCCCAGAAGGGTCTGAAAGATGCGGGAGGGTCTGTCAGTGCGGCGGTCATACGAAAGGAAGCACGGGCACTGGCAAGACGGACAGTCAAGGAACAGATGAAGGGATTTCGCAGCTTCGCGGTCATGGGCGATTGGGAAAAACATTGGAAGACTATGGATAAGGAATTTGAGAAGAGACAACTAGGCGTATTTCGCGAAATGGTCGATAAGGGCTTGATCTACCGAAGGTTTAAGCCCGTCTATTGGTCACCCTCCACCGGCACAGCGCTCGCAGAAGCGGAATTGGAATACAAAGACGATCATGTTTCTACTGCTGCTTTGGTCAAATTTCCCCTACTTTCAATTCCCTCGCACTTGGCGCAGAACCCGTTGCTACAGGTTAAGGATCTTACTGCTGTTATTTGGACTACCACTCCCTGGACGCTCCCCGCCAATGCCGTAATTGCTGTTCATCCAGATCTGGAATACACGATTGTTCAGTCAGATACCCATGGTCACCTTCTTGTCGCGCAATCCCGGTTACAGTATCTTGAAAATATCCTCAAGGAAGACCTGTCTGTGATCATTCCGTCGGTCCTTGGCTCAGAGCTGGCAGATCGGACAACGTATCGGCCTCTGTTCAAGGGGGCTGATGCAGAGCCACAGCCCATAATTTCTGCTGAATTCGTCACCGCCGACTCTGGAACAGGGCTTGTTCATTGTGCACCAGGCCACGGAATGGAAGACTACGAAGCTTGCCTCTCCCGCGGAATTACTGCATTTGCCCCGGTTGATGATCATGGCCGATTCACCGACAAGGCTATGCCCAGTGAACCTACAAGATTGAGCGGTAAGAGCGTTTTGGATGAAGGTAACGCTGCTGTTCTCGAGTATATTGAAACGCAAGGACATCTTCTTTTGAAGCATCGGTATGAACATAAGTATCCCTATGACTGGCGGTCTAAGCGTCCCATCATTATCAGGGCTACTGAACAATGGTTTGCCGATGTGGCCGACATTCGTGAGAGTGCAGTCAAGGCTTTGGAGGATATCCGTTTTGTTCCAGCTTCCGGAAGACAGCGGCTAGAGAACTTCGTGAAAAATCGAAGCGAATGGTGCATCTCACGTCAGCGTGCTTGGGGTGTGCCTATCCCTGCTCTCTATCATCGGGTCACGGGCGAAGCTGTGCTTACGAAGGATTCTGTTTCGCATATTATGTCTGTCATAGATGAGCGTGGAGTTGACGCTTGGTGGACGGATGATGCAAATGATCCTGCCTGGATTCCAACATCCCTCCAAGAGACATCTGGGCCCGGATACAGACGTGGAACAGATACTATGGACGTATGGTTCGACAGCGGTACTAGCTGGGCTGAGATTGATGAACCGTATCGTGATGGGTACCCAGCCGATGTCTACTCAGAAGGCACTGACCAACATCGCGGCTGGTTTCAGTCAGGCCTTCTCACATTTACAGCTCACCAACTCGCTGCAGGACAGACGGCTACGCGCGCACCGTTCCGAAACCTTATCACCCATGGATTCACACTGGATGAGGAAGGGCGCAAAATGAGCAAGTCAATTGGTAATGTTTTGCTTCCTCAGACTATCATGGATGGAACCCTTTTGCCTCCTCTTAAGCCAAGGAAGGGGAAGAAAAAGCAATCGGAGAATCAAGGACCCGTCTATGATGCCCTCGGTCCTGATGCGCTTCGTATGTGGGTCGCGAGCAGTGATTATACCCGCGACGTAGTGATTGGGAAGCAGGTTCTTCAAACCGTCAATACAAGCTTGCACAAGTACAGAGTGACCTTCAAGCTCCTGCTTGGCGCTCTTTCTGACTTCCGCTTAGACAATCAGGTTCCATATGATCAATTACAGCAAGCCGATCGGATCGCGCTCAAGCATTTGTCCGAGATGATCCTTTCTTGTCAGAAGGCTTGTGAAAACTTCGAATTCTATAAGGCTGTGAATGCTCTGAACCGCTGGGCTAATCTCGAATTTTCTGCGTTCTACATGGAAGCCATTAAGGATCGACTGTATACCTATGGAGAGAACAGCGCCAGTAGACGCGCTGCACAGACGACCCTGTTCCATATTTATCGCCATCTTCAAGAAGCACTGGCTCCCATTACTCCCATGCTCGTGGAAGAGACCTGGGAGCACACCCCTGAGGCCATCAAGTCCCAGTGCGAGCATCCCTTGAAGCGTGTTGTTTCTGTGCCTACCTTGGAGTGGCAAAACAACTCCCTTGAAACAGACTACCAGGACCTCGTTGCTGTTCACTCAGTTATTAAGAATGCTCAAGAAACGGCCCGGGGCAGGAAGGAAATGGGTTCATCTCTCCAGTCCGTTGTCCACATTGTTCTTCCTCAGGGCGTCAGCAACTCCGTGTTCCAGCGATCTTTAACAGAGCTTCCCGATATCTTTGTTGTCTCAACCGTCACACTCGGAACCTCCGGCGAGCCTCTTCCGGCTACCATCGCAGAAGCAGAATGGCAATACAGCGAGGAGTATGAACTTCCCAGTGGAGAAAAGGGCACCGTATATGTCTATACCCCACAAGCTGGCAAATGCCCGCGGTGCTGGCGCTATGTTGTCCCAGAATCGCAGGCTGAGGAGTCTGTTTGTGATCGCTGTGAGGACGTTGTCAGTGAGCTTGACGCGTCTACAGCGGCGAAGGCGGCCGATTCGTCGTAGGCCTGAGTGGCCAGGTCATGTTTCTAATTTTGTATAATAATAGTGTAGTATATCCCAAAAGGAGAGAATCTCATCTATATTATAATTCCTCGGGTAGCTGATGTCGCATCCTTGTGTAACCATGGGTCGTATAATGATATATATATATATTTATCGAGATACTGCAAAGCACGTGCAGCGAAGCACATGATCGACATAGCTGTCACTTTCCCCAGTCTATATTTAACAAACAAATCCCAAACCCACATTTGACATCTCCGTGGGTTTGCTTACCGGGGATAAAGCTTGCAGTGTCTTCTTGGACATTTTGACGTCTGTACGGAGTACTCCGAAGCAAATTGATCGATCGGATACTGGAGATCTTCCGCTGAGTAAGCCCCGCAATGACTGACTGACTAACACTCACTAACGAAGGAACAACCAATAATCTGTCACGATCTCGCCGGGTCTGGAACTTGAACCCTTCCGAAGTCAGTGTGTGCCCCAATGGCGACCGTTAGGGTGCTGCAAGACGCACACAGCCTCGCGGTGATATATGTGTACTTGCAGGGGTTTACGGAGGCCTACAGATTCTTCTCCGGATGGATCTAATCAAGTATGCAGAAGTAAACTTTGACGTTGCTAGGAGGTTCCATATCACCACTGTACTGCACATGATTGTTGTCCACGCCAAGTCTCCATCCTTACGGTCTGGAACTTGGAACTTGGAACAACCGAGGCATTGGCGGAAAAGGGTTACTCTCCGAATTTGACAGGCGCCCAGCCCAGGGTACTCCGTACCACTGTAAAAATTGCACGACGGGCATCAATGATGAATGGACGCTCAAATAAAAAAGGCTTACTGATCGACAAACACGACCCCGTGGCGGCGTCTGTGGTAGATGGCCGTTCATCGTTCCCTACGTGGATGGCGCTAGTGGTTCACTATTTATACAGATTTGCGTCTAATTTGAGAGGAGCACGTCACCGCTCGGAAAGATAGGAGTAAAAAAGAAGAAAAGGGGATATGAGAAGGCTGACGCAACCTAATCTTGAGGCCGTTACGGAGCAGACGAAGGCTCCGATCCATCCCTTCATGCTATGAACGTGGCCGTGAACTCTCGGGACTGCACCGGAGGTGCAGTCTAGCCGTTCTCCGAGTGGGTCCCTTGGAGATCCACGGTCATGATTTCATCGGCCAAGACACACCAGCAAGATTTCTTTTCAGCCCGGACACTCGGGATGTGCCACTTCCGAGTCCAAATCCGGAGCTCTCGACTTATCTACCGATAGATTTTGCATAGTCTATGATTCATTAAGATGGATCGGGTCCCTTAGTGCGAATCTTGGTTCAATTTGTGACTTATCCCCGCTTACTAACGAGTTTCCGTTAATACTATTGGAGAGGATCATTATAGCGCCATGGTTGTGTCGGATTGGGAGAGTACCATGGAGCTGCCACAGGGGAAGAAGCCACGTTCAGGCACCGAGCATTCGGATCTCGATCTCCCTTCTTGGATTTCCTACTCGGGTATGGAGGTTTTCGCTCCCGAGCATTACCCTATTGTGGGGCGCCTCAAAATCTATGAAACCGTATATAATGAATATAAAGAGTAGGGCAACGTCGTTGCCATTCTAGGGTCTGTTTGTTTTTATCCCTCGAGTCAACGGAGACAGTACAGGATTAACTATATTAACATCAACATTACAACCAATCGGAATAATAGCGATTCAGTGCAACTGAAGAGCGCGGACAACATTTTAAGGTTTACCTCGAGCGAGACCTTAAAGTCTTCTGCGTGCCCGGCAAGGATTCCCACGCCATGGCTTCGCATAAGAAGAGCGAGGACCCCTTGGTCGACAATGACCGACAGGAACGGGAGTGTTACAGCAGTGATTCGACAATGGCATCAGATCAAGCCTCGGAATCTCGGTCCCCCATGGGGTTAATCGACGAGGAGGGAATCGAAACCCTTAATCGCATCGCCACCCAAAGCTCACGTCGTCGGTCGAGTGTCTATCCCCCAAATCTCCCCACGAGAACCTCGACGTTGGCTACGATTTCCGAAAATGACCCAGCCGTTGATCCTCAAGGGCCCTCGTTCGATCTGAACAAGTGGCTGAAGATGGTTCTTCGGGAGTCCGAAAGACAAGGCAGAGAAAGTCACCGGACAGGCATCGTCTTCAAGGATCTCACGGTATCTGGAACCGGAGCAGCACTGCAGCTCCAGGACACAGTATCATCCATGCTATCTGCACCCCTTCGCATCGGCGAGATGATGAGAAATCGACGGTCGCCGCCAAAGCGAATTCTGAATGAGTTCAATGGCTTGTTGGAGAGCGGGGAATTACTTCTCGTCTTGGGTCGTCCAGGATCCGGATGTAGTACCTTCCTCAAGTCTCTATGTGGCGAGCTCCACGGCCTGTCTTTGAGCAAAGAGAGCGTTATCCATTATGATGGTATAGTTTCCCCTATGCTTGCGGATCTTAGCGTATGCCGCTGACCAGGATGTGACAGGAATCCCTCAGCAACGAATGGTCAAGGAGTTCAAGGGTGAAGTTGTGTATAACCAAGAGGTAAGAACCTCTTGTGGGTTGGAGGTTTAAGTAGAGGCTGACCCGAATAATCATTGCAGGTGGACAAACACTTTCCTCATTTAACCGTCGGCCAGACGCTCGAATTTGCCGCCCTGGCGAGAACACCAGCTCAACGAATCCGTGACATGTCCCGCGAAGAGTTCGCTAAGCATATCACCCAGGTAGTCATGGCCATTTTTGGTTTGAGCCACACCTACAATACTAAGGTCGGAAATGACTTCGTCCGCGGAGTATCGGGTGGTGAACGGAAGCGTGTCAGTATCGCGGAGATGGCTTTAGCTCACTCCCCCCTAGCTGCATGGGATAACTCCACCCGAGGCTTGGATTCCGCAACGGCATTGAAGTTTGTGGAGGCACTACGCTTATTTGCCGACCTCACTGGGTCTGCACACGCAGTGGCGATCTACCAGGCTAGTCAGAGCATCTACGACACCTTTGACAAAGTAGTTGTCCTTTATGAGGGACGTCAGATCTACTATGGCCCTGCGAAGTCTGCTAAGTCTTACTTCGAACGACAAGGATGGGAATGCCCTCAGCGACAGACCACTGGAGACTTTTTGACTTCGGTGACCAACCCCAGTGAACGTAAAGCACGTCCGGGCATGGAAAACCAAGTTCCACGCACTGCCGATGACTTTGAAGCGTATTGGCGCAAATCCCCAGAATACCAGAAGCTCATGTCCCAGATTTCCAACTATGAGCAGCAACATCCGCTGGAGGAGGATGGTGCCGCCCTTGCAACATTTCAGCAGAAGAAGCGCGAGATACAGGCGAAACATACTCGTCCGCAGTCGCCCTATTTGCTTAGTGTGCCCATGCAGATCAAGCTCAATACTAAGCGAGCATACCAACGTGTGTGGAACGATATCTCTTCTACTGTGTCAACTGTTATTAGTCAAATTATCATGGCTCTGATTATCGGATCTGTGTTCTACGGTACCCCGGATGCAACTGCAGGCTTCACTGCCAAAGGTGCCACCTTGTTCTTCGCGGTCTTACTCAACGCTCTTATTGCAATGTCGGAAATCAACAGTCTTTACTCGCAGCGTCCAATTGTGGAAAAACATAACTCATATGCCTTCTATCATCCAGCCACCGAGGCTATTGCTGGCGTGGTTAGCGATATACCGGTCAAGTTCGTCATAGCAGTCGTGTTCAACCTTATCCTCTATTTCATGGCGGGGCTTCACAGAGCGGCAGGGCAATTCTTCCTCTACCTGCTGGTCACATTCATCGTGATGTTCGTGATGAGTGCAGTCTTCCGTACGATGGCGGCTATCACCCAAACAGTCTCACAAGCAATGGGGTTGGCAGGTATATTGATCTTGGCTCTGATTGTCTACACGGGATTTGTGCTTCCTGTTCCTTCGATGCATCCTTGGTTCGAATGGATTCATTATCTCAGTAAGTAAATGGCATTCCAAACATTCTATATACGTCACTAACCTCGAATCAGACCCTATCTTTTATGCATTCGAGATCCTAATTGCCAACGAATTTCACGGACATGACTTTATATGCTCGCAATTTATCCCGGCCTACCCTAGCTTGAGTGGTAACTCCTTTGTATGTTCGTCTCCTGGCTCCAAAGCTGGGCAGCGCGTTATGAGCGGTGATGATTATATACAGGTGAACTACCAGTATAGCTACTCGCACGTATGGCGCAACTTCGGCATCTTGATTGCCTTCCTTGTCGGGTTCATGGTGATTTACTTTATTGCCACTGAGTTGAATTCGTCTACCAGCAGCACTGCCGAAGTTTTGGTCTTCCGTCGTGGACATGAGCCAGCATATTTGCGCACCGATTCAAAGAAGCCCGATGCTGAGAACGCAGTGGAGCTCAGTGCGATGAAACCAACTACGGAGTCGGGTGAAGGGGATCTGTCTATCATACCACCACAGAAGGATATCTTCACTTGGAGAGACGTTTGCTATGATATCGAGATCAAGGGTGAACCCCGACGGCTATTGGACCATGTTTCTGGATGGGTCAAGCCAGGCACGCTGACTGCTCTCATGGGTGTCAGTGGTGCAGGTAAAACCACTTTGCTGGATGTATTGGCGCACCGAACTTCCATGGGTGTTATTACAGGTGACATGTTCGTGAATGGCCGGGGCCTCGACCAAAGCTTCCAGAGAAGCACCGGCTATGTTCAGCAGCAGGATCTGCATCTTGAAACTGCTACTGTCCGCGAGTCGCTCCGATTCAGCGCTCTCCTTCGTCAACCCCCTAATGTCTCCATCCAGGAAAAGTATGACTATGTGGAGGACGTGATCCGCATGTTGAAGATGGAAGATTTCGCCGAAGCAGTCGTCGGTGTTCCCGGCCAAGGATTGAACGTTGAGCAACGCAAATTGTTGACCATCGGTGTTGAACTGGCTGCGAAGCCTAAGCTCTTGCTCTTCTTGGACGAACCCACTAGGTAAATATTCCACCTTCTGCAGGTATTATCTCTTTTACTAACCTGATTCCAGCGGTCTTGATTCCCAGAGTTCTTGGGCTATCTGCGCATTCCTCCGGAGGCTTGCCGACAGCGGGCAAGCGGTCCTCTGTACCATTCATCAGCCTAGTGCAATTCTTTTCCAGCAGTTCGATCAGCTCCTGTTCCTTGCACGTGGTGGAAAGACGGTCTACTTTGGTCCCATTGGAGAGAACTCTAATACCCTCCTTAACTACTTCGAATCAAATGGGGCACGGAAATGTGCCGATGACGAAAACCCGGCTGAGTGGATGCTGGAGATTGTGAACGCTGGCAAGAACTCCCAGGGTGAGAACTGGTTTGACGTCTGGAAGCGAAGCAGCGAGTGTCAAGGCGTACAGACTGAGATCGATCGGATCCACACGGAGCAGCAGGCGAAGACGCAAGCCAATACCGGAGACAGCGAAGCCGGAAGTACGTCCGAATTTGCCATGCCATTCTGGTTCCAGTTATACCAGGTTACCTATCGTGTGTTCCAGCAGTACTGGCGTATGCCGGAATACATCGCGTCGAAATGGATGCTGGGAATCCTCTCCGGTCTCTTCATTGGTTTCTCATTCTTCCAGGCGAAGTCTTCCCTCCAGGGGATGCAGACCATCATCTACTCGTTGTTTATGCTGTGCTCCATTTTCTCTTCTCTGGTTCAACAGGTATGTCAAGTGTCAAGTGCTTCCTCTTGTATATGCCAAAACTAACCCTTATAGGTCATGCCATTGTTCGTGACCCAGCGATCCCTGTATGAAGTCCGCGAAAGACCCAGCAAAACATACTCATGGAAAGCCTTCTTGATCGCCAACATCATCGTCGAGATCCCATACCAAATCATGATGGGCATCTTAACATACGCCTGTTACTACTACGCAGTTGTCGGAGTCCAAGACTCCGAAAGACAGGGTCTCGTCCTCCTGTTATGTATTCAATTCTTCATCTATGCCAGCACTTTCGCCCACATGGCCATTGCCGCCATGCCCGACACCGAAACAGCTAGTGCTGTGGTGGTTCTTCTATTCGCCATGTCCCTCACATTCTGTGGTGTCATGCAAACCCCAACCGCACTGCCCGGATTCTGGATCTTCATGTACCGCGTTTCCCCCTTCACCTACTGGGTCTCAGCCATGGCCTCCACCCAGCTCCACGATCGCGTGGTCCAGTGCTCCCCAGCAGAGATGTCCATCTTTGACCCTCCATCGGGCCAGACCTGCGGCGAATACATGTCTTCATTCATGAGCATGGCCGGCGGACAGTTGTCGAACCCCAACGCCACCTCGGACTGCAACTACTGCTCGGTCTCTGTGGCAGACGATTTCCTGTCAAGTGTCAACATCTATTGGAGTGAGCGCTGGCGCAACTTCGGCCTCATGTGGGTGTATATCGTGTTTAACATCTTCCTGGCGACTATGCTCTACTACACGTTCCGTGTTAAGAAGTGGAACCTCAGTGGCTTGAAGGAGCGCTTCTCTAAGAAGAAGTGAGCCAAAACATTACACTATACAGCACATATTTTCTTTTCTTCTCAGTATATACCTCGCGGGCTCTTTCTTTGGCCTTGCTTATCGATTTCTGGTTGATACCCTGTCTCAAAGAGCATACTCTCAACCGTACTTTGCTTGAGATATTTCTTATTGTCGTGTGATACACTATCATAGAATTTTGCTTGCGCTGTCTGATTTAATTATTCGACCGTGTCTTTGCTGGATTGTTTCAATCCAATCTCTTCAGCCTTTGCTTTACAATTTTTTTTAATAATATTTAGCCTTGGCCCTGGAGGACAGCAGAAAAAAAAATACAAAATACAAAATACAAAATTAAATACAATAACCTCTAGGGCTATCTGGCATATCATAGAAATACAACTTCGATTCGTCTATCAACCCAGTTCTATAATATTGAGTGTACCAATACCTGAATGTTTAAGTTGTTCATCCTGTCAGCCGTAAACTAGTGATGACTATAACACACTCAGTGAAGCACAAACACAGCTTCCTTTACTACAGTATGACCGCAGCTATCTCAAAGCACAAAGGCTCTAGCACCTTCTACCCTGATCCAGGACAATCATCTCTTTGGATAAACGAACAATGAAGCCAAGTTCTTTGGTTGAGGTCCTTTGTAGTGGACGACCTTATTTAAGCAGCTATTTAGCAGAAGTCTGACTCTTGACAATGAGCCTGATACTAGTTATCTGCTAGAGAGACACCTGAACCTACTACGTAGCCTTCGCTCTGAGAAGCTGGAGAGAGTATCCCGATATACAGAGCTCGGGTGACGAGATTGACAAGATGTGGTTGAATCCCTGGGCGATAGGGATGCAATTTGAAGAGGAGCAGCCAGACGGAGACAGAAGAACATCATGGCGCTCTTCTCTGTGTTTGAACTGCACACCATGTCCCTCCCTCTCGTCGAACAGAATGTCAGTCCTCCGCAGTAAGTCTTCTCCAACCTGGGCTCTTGAACCAGCTAGACATCCTCCTCTCCTCTACACTACCACATACAAACCTCTTCTCTCTTTTTCCCCAGTCAGTCGTCTCACTTTCCATACCTCTACACACAAACCCACCCACAAAAGAAGAATGGACATCCACCCCTCCCACTGGCAAGCAACGCTCCTAGGCCACGCCTTCTGGCGCGACGCAGAAGCCTACAACAAACCCATCCACGACTCCATTGAAGCCGGTACACCCCAGCCCTCCCTCCCACTCCCAGAAAAAAGCGCTATACTAAATCTCTCGCAGAAGGGAGGAGACTCCTCCACAGACGCCAGGAGCAACCAAACACCCAACTCCAAACACTGACACTGACACAACCACCAACAACCCCCATGCCCGACAGCGAAGCATACCGCCACCGCCGCTTCAGCATGAGCGACGCCCTCCACCTCCACCCCTTCCACAGCACGCACCTCAGTCGACGGCGCGCACGCTCACACATGCGCTCCGACGCCTCAGACCACACTACTACATCCTCGCAGGAACCAAGACCACGCTCCAGCTCACGGTCCCGGTCTCTCCTCCGCCTCCCACTTACAATCCTCCGCGGACTGAGCAACACCCGAAAACGACCCGACCACCTCCCCACCGACCTTGCCACGCCCGCAAACCCCATCCTCGAGTTCCGCGGCGGCGACACCTGGGACCTCCTCGCGAGGGATAGGAAGAGTCTAGGGCTGGACTTATTCTGGCCCATTGAGTTCCCCAACCCAGCCCTAGACTCTGGCTATCCTATAAAAGCAATCTCAACCGCGTCACAACCCCAAGAACCCAAGGGCAAAGACAAGGACGAACAAGGACCAGAAACCTTCCCCCTAACATCCCTAACCCCGCTCCTGCACTTCCGCCACCTCCGCGCCCTCAAACTAACCGGCATGATGCGTTCCTACCAGAAATATATCTGGCAGGCAGCTTGGCTGAACCCGTACCTGGAAGAACTGGAGCTCGGCATGGCCCTCGCCCCAAGTCTGCGCCGGCGCTATGTGACGAGGTGGCCGTGTATCCGGGGTGGGTGGACACTTCCTAAGGAGAGATTCGGTGGGCCGGTTTATTAGTATGTTTTTTTTTTTTTTTTTTT